TAATTTTTCTTTTATCTTTTTATTTTGGTGATAAAAACAAGTGTAAATTGATGTTTTTACTTTTAATTTGTTATTTCTAAATAACATGTATTAATTTATAAGTCTTCTTAGGGACTGCTTACTTCAGCTTATTTTCAGTTCAGTTCGGCTTAATTATTTTGTTAATTAATTTGTTAATAATAACGATGATGATGATTGACAAGTCTATCGCAAACCTATCAAAAATACCTATTAGAACTAACTAATGTAGCTAGTGGTAACAGGGTTGAATCCACAAGATGGCAACGGTCAATTGTTAATTAACTAAAAGCGTCTAGATTAGTAAAAGGGTATTTGATTGATTTATACTAATAACTACGATTAACAAGAGCAATGAATTAAGAATTAAATATCAATAAACTAAAACCTAGGGCTACGGTTCACTACGGCAAGGACATAGCACAATTAGGAATCAACAATTCATATCAAAGCACAATCAAATAGGATCATAAGTTCTCTCGAATCATGTGACCCATAGAACTACTCTAACCATTCTTTCAATCTTAGCTAGGCTCATTCTACCTATTCAAGGGGATCTTGTATTAAGTCTCAATCGCTAGATTTGGAAACTCGCAACTAATCTAATTAACCAATTAAGTCGTGCACTACCCAATTGATTAACATGAATAACAATCAATAAGGAATTTGATAAATTGTTAATCAATGAATTGAATCAAACTAATCAATACAAATTACATTGCCATAGATCCCCAACCTCCCTAGAAAGAAAACTACTCACGCATAATTGAATAAAACATAATAACGGCGATTAGAGAAGACATAATTAAAATAATAGCGAACAAAAGCGATAAAGAGTAGAGAATTATACTGAATGCACAATGATTGATGAATGAATGAATAACTTTATTAACTTGATGAATTCCAAAAGTTGCAAATAATAAAAACTACAGTTGAGAGAAAAACCTAACAATAAAACCTAAAATTCGATGATCAAAAGCGTAAAAACTCAATAATGAAAACGTAAAACTCGATAATGAAAATGCAGTCTAAAAATTAAGATTACAAGTCTTATATACTTCCTAGTAATAGATAAAAGAACCCCTCAAAATTACATCAAAGCCCCCTATAAAAATAGAAAAGAAATATAATAAAAATGGTCGGTTGAGGGTCGTAACCGGTCGGTTAGGATTTCGCCCGACCGGGCAAATCTTAAGCATCCGTTAAGCTTGAATTTGTGATTTTTTATTTTATTTTCTTCACTCCAATCCGAGCCCGACGTTACTCAAAAGATAGCTCCATAATGCTCCTAAATAGCTCACGATCAATCCAAAATAATGAATTAAACCTGACATACTATGGAAACACTAAACAAAAGATATTAGTAGCAAAAGGGCCTAAGGAGGCCTAAAATCACATCAAAATACAAGAGATTAGAGGGGTGAATCATCTTATAAATATTACACATCAAACTCTCCCAAGCCAAACTCTTGCTTTTCCTCAAGCAAATTGGACCAAGGCTCTCTAAGAATAAGCACACTTCACCCCACAAAAGCAACATCTCATAGATACTCGTGACTAATCCCCTAACCAAAGTTCCCAAGTTACCCAATGCCTATCCAAGAGTATAGATCATCAAAGTGGAACCAAGCCATCAGAAGTAGGAAGAACTAGGAATTAAATGAAGAACTCTTACTACTGGCACTCCTCTCTTTTAGAGAGAGCTAAAAATGAACCCGATCGCTCTCCGCCCACATATGCAAAAGATGTGCATATAAATCAAGTTTTTGTAGCCTAAAGTACTAAAGGCACCCTCCCATCTGATGTCCAAGAAGATCTCACGGCGGTTGTCATTGTATCTTGGATCATTTCCATCATCTCTCTTCTTAGGCTTTTTCCCGTCATCCTTGTCCTCGTGTTTCCTCCCTTGTCCATCTGGCTTTCGCTTCCCATTGCCACCACCTTGTTTGGAGGTACTAGGCATGCCGAGGCTGTTGATCTCGGCTTCTTGAATATGCCTCTGTGCCATTTCCATGGCGTTGATGTAGGTTTGTACATCTTGCAGCAACAAGTCTTGTTTGAACCAAGACAGCCTCAAGCTGGCCAAGAGAGAAGTGAACGCCGCCGAATCTTCTAGTTTCGAGACTTTCAACGACTCGGCGCTAAATCGCCTGATGTTCTCGGCCAAACTTTCATCTTCCCTCTGTTTGTAGCTGATTAAGCACTGGCTTGTCTTCTTATGCCGCTTCCCAGCTATGAAATGTTGCTTAAATAACGCTTCAATCACGGGAAGTTTGTAATGGAACCAGATGGAAGGTCACTAAACCAACTCAACTCCATGCCTTTCAAAATCGTTGGAAAGAACTTGCACCAGGATGCCTCACATTCGGTTTGAACTGCCATTTGCGTTTTGTACGTGGCCATGTGTTCTTCAGGATCGGACGTGCCATCAAAGGCGTCAATAGTGGGAACTTTTACTTTGCGTGGGTCCCTCGTGTCCATAATCTCTTTGCTGAAAGGGGTCTTGTAGGTGAGAACACCTGCTTGTGTGCTGTCACCTGCCCTTTTGGTTCCCCTTGAGGACTCATGGCCTCCGGAGACTACGGTCCTACTATGGGCGTTATTATGATGTGAATGGACCTCATATCCATCTCTAGGGAGAGGAACGTTGCGTGCCTCAGTGTGATGTGTCCTATTGTCATCTTTGTAAGATCGATGAGAATGAGTTTCTCTTCTAGCATCTCTGTGTTCTTGAGGTCTGGAGTTCAATATGTCTCTAGCATCAAGGGCTCCCTCCCTTAGACACTTTTCCTCAATGATACGTCTGGCGTCAATTGGGGTCGGCGCCTCTCTGCGGCGCAACTGAACCTCTCTGTAGGTTGAAGCTCGGCTTGCTTGAGAGCGATGATCCCTATCGGGTGCCTCAGGATAGTGCCTTCATAGAGGAGAACGAAGCCTCCTTTTATATAGGGGTGGATACCTCTACCTAGTAAGACGTGTTTTGAATGGGTCGATCCCACCAAAAGCAAATCCTTGCGGGCTAGGCTCAGAGAGGACAATATCTTGCTAGTGGGCTCCCGACCCCTGGGCTGTGACATGTCCTTAGCTCGAGTGAGTAGTGTTTGGCACACCTTCATACTCTTGCTCACGTCCTGACCTACACCACAAACAAACGGTGACTACCCGGTGATTTTACCCGGGAACGTCCCTCCGACGCTCAAATCAGTTCTGCTCTAGAGAGAGTAATCTAGAGAGAGAAAGTATAGAGAGAGAGAAAGAGAAAAAGTACAAGTCGATATTAGAAATGTCAGAAAAAGATACCTGATCATACGAAAATCGAGGGTATTTATAGATTCTCTCAATTGCATAATCGTTATAAACGAAAATTCCTTCAATGGCAAGATCGTAATGAACAAACCTCTCACGCTATGGGCCCCGTATAAGCCCATTTTACACATTGAGTTTCCCTGGCCAAGGGAAATTTAGACATTTCACACCTCTTTGGGCCTTTAGGGGCAATTACGTTATTTCCAACATTATAATTGGGCCCAAAACTCATTGGGCTGGAACAATACCCACCCCTCCTACATAGATTCCTCTTTATTAGGAGTGAATTATGGAATTATTTCCTCCTTACAAGTTGATTTAGCCATGACGAAGCGAGAAGCTATAAAGTGCCCAGAAAAATTTCATCATATGTTCCTTTTGGAATATGCAAAGCTAATATTCTCCTTGCAGAATCCATAGTGAAACCCAACCATATTTGAGAAAATTTTCATGTATCTTCACTCTGATTATTTAATTGGTATACTCTAGAAGGCAGAAATACCCAAATATTACTGCATCCGTATTCGTTTTAGACCAGTATCCAACTATCCAGCTCTTTTTTTTTAGAGTTTGATATTCCATTCTCTCACAACGTTCTCACTACTTTTCATTAATCAAATTTCAGACCAACCAACCTCGTTCTCAAGTCTCAACAGTTGACTACCACATCATTCTTAATTACACATCCTTGTTTAGTCCAACTTCATAATAATAACGGTTATTTCATGAAATGCCACTGGGCAATTTCAAAATTCACCTAACGCCATGAAGGTTTTCAAAATTCACCAAATGCCATTGACAAATAGCACATTGACACCCCGTGCCATTAATGAGGTCTGGACGTTAGTTGGCCGTTACTGCGAATCTTATTTCATGAAATGCCATTGTGGAGTTTATATATTTCACCAAATGCCATTACTTTTGTAAATATTTACACAAAAAACCTGTAAACATACTCAGTGTAACGGCTAGTTTGTGTGACCTTTTTTGAATTTTTTTGGGCAAATGTAGTCGTTGCACCCAATTTGGTATGTAAATAGTGCACTAAAACACACATAGTAGATCTTTTTTGCATAATCATGAGCTTCATATCAAACACATCCTCCTCAAAACATGAGTATGCATATGTCAAGGTTCCAAATAAATTTTGCAATTGTGGTAGGAAATATGCGATTAGAAGCTCGTAGTCAACATCTAATCCACAAAGGTTGTATTATAAGTGTGATTCATGTGATAACTTCAAATGGTGCAAGGTTCAGATGCATGAAGAAGGTCAGAGCAGGGGAAGTCAAAGCAGGGGAAGCTGTTATGCAAGGGATGGCTCTGGACAAAGTAATTTGCATGAAAAATTGAAACAGTTGAAGAAGAAAATCAAGCAACAGCAAAAAGTGCTCGATTGTATTATGAAATTAGGGGTACTAATGTGTGTAATAGTGGTGATTGTAATGATGAAGTGAACTATTGTAATTGCAATGAAATTTAATAAAGAGGGAAATTAAATCATGTGCCCAAAATATTGCTTGTTGTTCAAATCATGTTCCCAAAAGATTGCTTCATGTTTAAATTATAAGGCTATGTCAAAAGAAACTAGACAACACAGCACACACTACACTGTTAATGTTCAAAAATGACATGATTAAATTGGTTGTGCATTAAAAACATGAGTGGCTGTGCATTCATGCTGCTCTCTTTCTTTTCTTCTTGGCTTGAGAGGAGGTGGTTGATGTGCTTTCTTCAGTTACATCGCTTTTTTTCCTTGATGCACAAGTCAGCATGTTATGCCCCAACTCTTTGCATAAGCTGCACTTAACTGTTGAATGCCTCTTCCCTTTCCTTGCTTCATTTGGCCCTCTTCTCCTTTGCTTTTTTGGTCGCCCTGCAGCTATTTTCACCGATGGTGGTAGTATGTTAGGCAGTTTCAGTAATGGCCATTGAGATGGGTCAGGCATTGGGTGCATATGCTCAAAATAAGTGAGCTTGTATGCCTTCCCTTTGAAACAAGGGGCTAAAAATTTTGTAGGTTGCAGCCTCTGGTAGTAACCCTTAGTGCATGTTTGCATGGGAGTCCAGAATGTTGCCACTTCCCACAACCAAAACTGTCAGTGTTCAGCTTGATGGGAAAATGAACATGTTGGTCTCTCACCTCAAACTCATCACCACCACAGGGGGTTTCATAGCACAACCTAGACTCATTTGATCTTGTTTGCAGAATCTTAGCTGCATATTCAGTCAGCTCCATATCCCCCATGCTTGCAGCTTTGTCAAACCTTGAGGCAATCCTCTTCATGCCCCATTGCCTTATACCTTCAAAACAGTATGCAAAGACATTATTAAAACAAGAAACAGGGGACTTGTCTTAATGAAAGTTGTTATTGAGTGGAAGTGAATACCTTCAAGTATTTTCACAACAGGTAGATCTCTGTAGGGCTTGGTGCATGAGTTGAAAGACTCCAAAAAATTTGTTGTGTTATGGTCATAACAAAGTGCAGGATCAAACTTATGTCTTGACCAGATCTCAGTGCAGCTCTCTAAGTATTCAACAGCCTTAAGATTGTACTCTTGAATCTTTTGCATTGCTTTATTGAATACATACTCATTGTATGCATCAGCTGCTATCCAGAATAGCTTATGAAAGGCTGAACCACTAAAACCATTGGCCTTGCAGTTCATGTACAGGTGTTGGCAACACACTCTTCTAGTTGCTCTGGGGAATGCTTCATAAATTGTTGTGTCAACACCCTGCAAAGAAAATAGTTTAGTGGCTGACAGTTCAACATAAGGAAAAAACAGTAAATCACATGTCATAAACTAGTTTTCAGGTGGCTTACCTTCATTCTATCGGAGATGAAGGTCCAATCATCTCTCTTGCACCCTTCCTTCTCAAAAAGTATTTTCAAATTCCTTAGAAAATACCCCAAACTGTCAACACTCTCAGAACCAACCACTCTATAGGCATTGTTCCCATCAATCCCAACTGCAGTTAACAATATTCCCTTGAAATGTCCACTTAGATGGGCCCCATCAATGCCAATGAAAGGTCTGCAGCCTCTCAAGAATCCCCTAACTTGGGCAGCAAAAGAAAAAAAACAAGCCTTGAATCTTAGAGGCTTAGTTGCAGTAGGTTCATCCCATGTCACAATTTCACCATTTCAGCATACCTAGGCAACAGTGAGTATGCCTCTCCAAAATGTCCATGGATGATCTCCTTGGACATTGCCCTGACCTTGTACAACAGCCTTTTCTTGACTTCAAGCCTAAACCTTTCCATACAGATTCTATGTAAAGACTCAACTGGAATGTCAGGATTGGCTTCAATGTTTGACTGCAGATGCCTACACAGCCACTCAGAACTAACTATTGGGTTTCTTTCCAACCTCCCACAACTTTTGTGCTCCCCTGTCAAACTTTTGATTGCCCACCTAACCTTGTCCATCATTGTGGAGGCATAAATCCTCCAGTTGCAATTCTTTATAGCACACCTTGCTATCAATCTTGTTTTGTCACTCTTTTCAACATAAACACCAAACCCTTCCTGTACACAATAGTCCTTGAACACATCAAGAAATGATTTTCTGTCTCCAAATATCAACCATGGCTCTAATCTAATGGATCCAAACTTTTGAGAGCTCCAAATTTTACCATTCTTATAGGTCTTATCCATGGTTGAACTGCCATCAAGGTAATCCTCAAATTGCTTGTCAGGAATGTCATCATGAAGGCAATCTATTTTTGTCTCATCCTCAATGAAGTCAGCAATATCTGCCTCATCATCATCTTCTTCACTGCCAGATAGTATGTAATCATCATCTTCACTATCACTATCACTGCTAGACTCATCAGACCTCTCCTCATTTCCCACAACATCATTTGTTGCTCTGTTCCTTTTTTATCTCCTTAGAGTAACACTTTCCCCCTTTTTTGAAGCACTCTTTTTTGACCTAAATCCCTCATGTCTTTATCTACCTCCCTTTTTTGTTGGAGCAGATGGTGGAGGTTGGGGTTGAGATACAATTGGTGTTGTCTCTGGTTCAGGAGAAACTGGTGGTGACACTGTTGTTGGTTCAGCAGAAGGTTGGGATGTTTGTGGGTGAGGGGAAGGTTTGGATCTTTGAGTTGGCCTTTTTTTGTGTGCTTTTCCTTTTCCTAGGAGTCATTTTCTTCCTAGAACAGGTGGTTTTGGGTTGGTTCATAGGAGAAGTTGCTTTAGAGTGTTTAGGTGGAGTTGAGGGCTGAGTACTTTGTTCTAGCTCAAGCTGAGATGCCCCAGGGAAAACCTCATCAGCTACTTCAATGTCAAACACTCTAAAATACTCAACATTTGAGTCATCAGAATTACCAACAGGAACCTCAACTACAACAGTAAAATGTTGTTGTTCCCTAAGCTCCCTGGCAGCTTCCTCTTCTTCAGCCATCCTCTGGGCCTTTTCCTGATCTAATCTAGCCTTCTCAGCCAATGCCTTAACTCTTTTTTGCCAACTTGCTTCAGCATCCTTAAACACCAAGCTAGGACTATCCTTTTCCTCTAAGAACACTTCTATTGTTTCCCTACCTTCATACTACTCCCACATTTTCAGCATTTGACTATCCCCACATAACTCAAACTTTCTATTAGTTCTAGGTGGCAGTACATACAAACTTTAGGGAGGATCACATTTTGCTTCACATAATCCTCAAACATGTACTCATATAAGTCCATTAGACTAGTTCTGTCAGTATCCTCAATGAATACATCAAAGCCCTGATCTTTATAATGGACATCAAGCCACATTGTACTCATCCTATCAACAACAAATGACATATTACTTTACTGAACATCAACACACATCATTCATATCAACAAACACATACCAAGCCAAATATCCTGACCAACTAAAAAAATTTCATTTCTAGGACTTAAATACTGGGGAAAACACAAACCATAACATACCAATACACACATTGCCTGATTCACACACAAAACTGAGGTTTTGAACATGATTATTCACAATAATTCACAAAGGTCAATTCAAATAAACACATTACACTGATCATTTGAGAGAACCCTAGCCTTAACTCAATTTTCGCAAAAATAACCAGAACCAATACGCGAAATGAAGATCGACAGAGAGATTATTACCTTGCGTGCTATCTCCAATCCCTCAGAAAAAAATTCAGAACTATCGACTTCCTTCTACTTCTTCCACTACTTGTGACCGCTTTTTGGTTCGCCCAGAATCAACAACAGCCAAAGCTTGAATCTTGTTGCGAGGGACGTTCAGTGTTACGGTACGCTTCTTTCTTAGTTCATAAATTTGAGGGTTTGAATGATGGTGAAACATCGAAGAACAGGGGAGAAGTTAAGGAAGAACAAGGTTGATGACGAACATTAATATTTGATAATCAAGGAATCAGAGGGTCAGTGTGCTTTATGGCACCATTAAATACATTAAAGGGCAAAATGGTATTTTCGCAGTAACGACCAACTAGCGTCCAGACCTCATTAATGGCACGGGATGTCAATGTGCTATTTGTCAATGGCATTTGGTGAATTTTGAAAACCTTCTTGGCATTTGGTGAATTTTGAAATTGCTCAGTGGCATTTCATGAAATAACCGTAAATTATATTTTGGTGCCTATGTGCACTTAAGGTGTTTGTAACACCGAGGGATAGGATTTGTGGCGCACTAGGCGTTTAAGGTGTCTTTGACACTAAGGTAGTTTTAAAAGGGTTAAACATTAAATTTATGTGATCACTAATTATTCAAGAATTAAATCAGTATGTTTGATTGCTTGAATAAGTTGTAGTGTTTGGTTTGTATTGTGTTGAGAGTCATCACCAAGTTTAATAATTTGTAAATAACATAAAGTGAAAGAGATTACGCACCAAAACTCTTGGAATGTATATACCTTGAGTATGAACATATGGGGGGAGTTATGGGGTTTTATATTTAACCATAACTTCTACTGGAGTACAGGACGCTGTATTTTCCTTTTTATTATGCGCAGGAATTCCGCCACTTACGGTGGTTTATTTTATACTTTCACGGTAAGCTTCCGTGTTAGTACCCCTTTATTGGGGCAGGTTAGGGGGAAACCCGTTAGATGCGTAATCAAGCTAAATAATTGGACTAGTTATTGGTCTAGTTAAGTGTTGAATGTTTGTATGCTTGTAAACAGGTGCAACAAGGTAAGTTGTGTGTTGTTAGGATGAAAGCATGTTATATTACGCTTATGTACTCAGCTTTGTTGATTGTGTGTATTGTGTGTTTGTTTGGCCTTGTCTTAACCTTGGCCTTACGACGGCCCATTTCTAATGGCGAGTAGTGGGGACAAGTAGAGAGAAGCTTTTCAGGTGATGAAGCATAATCATGGAGGGGCATGAGTGAAGAGTTAATCATGCTTAGTTCTCATAGGAGTATGATGTGTTATTTGCTTTAAATTATTATTGACCATGAGACTAAAGCAAAGGTTTTTGAATATTTGGATTTTAAGGGCCTACAATGGTTCCAAGTTGCAGGTTGACTTCGTTTGACTTTGTTTGACTTTTACTTTCGTTGGTTTGACTTTTAAAGTTGACTTTATTTTTAAATAGTTTTAAAGATAGTCTTCCGCAGTGTGTCTTTGATATTTGCCTTAGCCGTTTTCACGGTGGCGGTAATGTCTTAGATTTTCCTTTTTCGTATTTTAAAAAGGGCAAAACAGGTACTTGACAAGCGCTAAATCGGTCGCACAATCTAGGTTAAGTCAAACACATTTATAACAAACACCTCACTCAAACAAGTACAATGGCTAGCAAGGGTTCGGTCTACGGAGAACGGGAATCAATCGCTAAATGATCTTAACACTCAAGCTAAATCGAAATCAAGGTAATAGTGGTGATTAAATAACAAACTACAACTAAGGATTGAATTCAAGGGATTAAAACACTAGGGGAATGGGATTCACTCAACCAATAGCAATTAGGCAAATAGGAAGGAACAAGGATAATGGAATAACAAAGACCACATGGAAGACCAACTCCAAATGATATGAAAACAACTCAAATCACTAACCTTAGATCCCTCGTTAACTTAACAACAAAAGATACATAATCATATTGTAATAGGTAATGAAACATTCAACTCACATTTCCATGTCGAACCAAACATTTCATGCCATCAAATTCAATAATCTAGGTTAATTACTCCTATCATGAAGAACTAACAAGCAATCCCATATAATCCATTTTAAACACAATCCATCATCAAAATCACTCCCAAACTCACATAATCACCATTAGGTTGGGTTTCACCCAACCCCTAGCTAAGGAACTACTCACACATCATATTGAAAAGCACAAAATCAAAATCCAGGGTTCTATCTTGCTCAACAAACTTGGAATAGTAACTTGCTAAAAATAGAACTAACATTCAACAACAATCATCAAAGAACTAAAGGGATTCAAATAACAAGGTATAACATGATAAATAAGAAACCAAGTAAAGTGGAAAGAGAAAAGTTACTAAAATGAAGCTTCAAAATCTTGATTACAAATGTTGCCAAATCTTGGTAATAATCTTGAATGCTAGTACAAAGTGTCAAAGTTGATGAAATCTAAGCTAAACTTTTAAGAAAATTGTTTAAGCCCCAACAAGGGGTGATATTACAAGCCTTTTCTCTCTCTAAAATCTGGCTACCCTCATAAATGAGGCAATTAATCTATTTATATTAGTCCAAAACAAAGGGGGCGGAGAGAACAAGAAACTGCTCTGAAATAGATCGGCACGGACATGACAAACACTGCACGGCCGTGTAGCAGGGTCAGAAGAGCTGAAAACTGGAGCAGGAGCTTGGCACGGGCGTGCCACATACAGCACGGACGTGCTAGTTTGTGGCACGGGCGTGTAGCCAAGGCTGAAACTTCGACGTTATCAGTAGTTAACTTGCACGGTCGTGCCAACATCATGCGTGGTCGTGCAGCTTCCAGCACGGGCGTGCCAATTTCTGCACGTTCGTGTAGCCTTCTCAGAGGGCTTTGCCAATCTTTAAACTCCCTTGCACGGCCGTGCCAAGCATCATGCATGGTCGTGCAGCTCCCAGGAGGTCTTTAAATGAAATTCAAGCCTAGCCAAAGATACCTCAAGGTCATGGCTTCTATCCCAACCATCGGGATGTCCCGTAGGGTTCCAAGCATCCCTGAAAGTGCATCAAAACACTAACAAAACCTGTGAAGCATGACAAATATGAAGAAAGTGCGGAAACACAGCGATAAGTGAGCAAAATAGCTAGAATATGGCAATAAGTGAGCACTAAATCACCCTAAAACAGCGCACTAAAGTACGTTGTCAGTACTTTAAGGGAAAGGAATTTCTAGGGTGTTACAAGAAAGATCCGTCCTTGAAAAGTTGAATTTGAGAGGTTAAAGTCGTATCACCTAATCAAAAGAATTACCTAAATCCTCTAACTAAAGTAGATAGGGAAGCAGGGTCGAATCCACAGGAAAACAAGTCTTTATATTCCTAAATAATTAATATAATCTAAACTATTAAGTAACCGAATTATTTTTGTGAGAATTATACTACGACAATAATTAAACTAAGGGAATAATCAATAACAAAAGCCTAGGGTCATAGGTTCACCAATAAACAATATTCCGGGATAAAAGACAACAATCAATCATTAATGCATAAATTAACCAGATTATAAAGGGCTTTCGCTACGTATTACAATCACAGAATTAACTTAGCGGTATTAAATCGCATCTCTCGAATCTTGACTTAACCATTTATAAATTAATCTGCTTATTGAAACTTGGCCTTAATATTAATTATCATCCATCGAATCTCGAATCAATATTGTGTTACTCATACAATTAAACCTGTGCAAATCTAATTGCATAGCATTATTACATTCAATAGGAAATTAACCCAAAACATTAACAATAAATAACAATAAATCATCCCTTCATATTAAATATGGATCCCCAAGAACCCTAAAATTAAATGCATAATTAAAACTAAACTAAACAAAACAATTAAATTAAGCATGATAAAAACAATAATAATAAACTAGTGCAAAAATCAATAATAATCAAAACTAGGGAAAAGCAATCGAAAAGAAGTAAAATAAAAACATAAAATAAAGTAACTAAAAGTATAAAAACATAAGTCTAACCACCAACAAAACTAAACGTACGACTAAACTAAAACTAATTCTAAGAAAACTAACTACTGACCTCCTCCTCGTACTAGTACAACCCTCCTTATATAAGGATAGAAAAACTTAACTGAAAAAGAATCCTAGTCTAACTAAAAGTCTTAGAAGATAAGAATATAAACAGAAAATTAAAACTATCTAAAGCTAAAAAGAAATCTTTATCTCACCCCTCACCAATTGTCGGTCATTTAGCCCACTAATTGGATTTGGATTAAATAACAAAACCCACAAAAGACTAAAACCGACTTAACAGACTTCGCACCAAGGTCTTGATTCGCGGGAATTGGGCTTCGAACTTGGGCCATGTTAACTTGACTCTTGAGTCCTAGTTCTCAAACGGCTTATTCTGTATTTCTTGCGGGAACTTTGAACAACGAACCAAGTTCCTTTAACTCTCATAAAATGTGATACGACTTTAATATGTTTGTAGTGGCTCAATAGGCTCGGGAATCGTCATAATTTTGCAAATTCTTACAAAATAATACCAACTCTACAAAAACACTAGAAAACGTATATTAGTAGTAAAAATAGCTCCGCAGAGCTCAAATAAGCACAAATATGACCGTGGATGGGGAATAAAAATATACTTCCTCCTTTCTTTTTTTATCGCATCACTTTGACTTTTACACTATTCACATTATCTTCTTTGACCATTGTTTGTGATTTATTCGTAAAGAAAAACATAGTCATGTGGGATCTAGTTAGATTCATCTCGAAATCTACTTTCCAAATATCAATTTTTTATAACTTTTACAACGGTTTAATTAAAGATATTAATAGCTAAAGTAATGCATTGGCAAACGTGAAATCTCCTATGATGCAGTAAAAAAAGAACAGAGGAAGTATATAAAATAGACTCATCAGAACTCATACAGGAACTCACCTCCAAGCAATTTCATTTCGAAGTTCCGTATCGAAGAGCATGGTATGCCAAGGAGAAAGCTATAGCTGAAATATTTGGGGATTGGGAGAGTTCTTACGGAAGACTTCCGCACTTCATGCAAGCACTTCAACAGTCAAACTCGGGAACCGTTGTTGTATGGAAACACAGAGCTTTGGTGGATGATATTTACTATAGCAACATGGAAGTGTTTGAACGAGTGTTTTGGGCCTTCGGTCCTTGTATCGATGGTTATAAACATTGTATGCCTGTTATCTGTATCGATGTGACGCAATTGTACGGGAAGTATAAAGGAACACTGTTGGTTGCTACAAGTGTGGATGCAAGCTTCCAAGTATTTTCGCTAGCATTTGCGTTGGTTGAAGGGGAAAACACTTCCAGCTGGTCTTGGTTTCTAGGCTGCATTGGGGTTCATGTCATGCAACGAGGTGGCCTTTGTGATATATCTAATCGACATGTTGGGATCATTGTAGCAATGAATGATCTTAACGTTGGATTCAACGAGCCGCGAGCTTATCACAGGTTTTGTGTTCGCCACATAGCTTCTAACTTGAAAACTCACGTGCGAAGCAATAACACGAGAGATACGTACAAGGCTGCTGCGTACCAAAGGCAAGAAAGAAAACTGCAAGCTGATTTGTGTTCGATCGGTCAGGCATGTACCAAATCCCCAGAGTATATTGCCCAAGTGCCGTTTCCTATGTGGTCTTTGTTTCAAGACGCTCGTCGCAGATTTAGGATATGTACTACAAACTTCTCTGAAACATTTAACAATATGTTAAAGGGAGCTCGGTTTCTACCGATCATGTCCCTTGTCGAGTTAACTTTCCACAGAGTTAACAGGTACTTCACTTTAAGAAGGGAATCTTCTGAGGCTAGGTCTGAACATGGACTTGCATACCCCCCAAAGGTCGCTGCCATTCTGGAGAAAAACACCGCAAAAGCAAGATATCACAGAGTGGATGCGTATAACCGCCGACTACATATATATCAAGTTACAACAGAAATGGGAGAGCGACTTGGTAGAAAGGAGGTCATAAACATATAGTTAACTTTCAGTTGAAAGAGTACATGCAACAAACCACAGATATTCCACCTCCCATGTTCTAGTAGTTTGTGCGACGTATTCACTATCAGAGCGCCCATGGGTGGACCATGTGTTGCAATCGGAGGCCTATACGAACACCTATGCACTACAGTTCTGGCTTATCCCCTGTGAGACGACCTAGACAGAGTACATCGACCCTAAACTCATTCCGGACTGCAGCATGGTACGAGGAAAAGGTCGGCCAAAGTCAAGGCGCATACGTAATGAATGGATGAGACTAACCCCCCCCCCCCCCCCCCCCGAGAAAATGCAACTGTTGTCACCAGCAGGGTCACAACTAGAGAACGTGTCCATCTAGACCGACCGGGACCTAAGTTTATATTTGTAAATTGATATAGTAGAATACTAGATTGATTTTGTATCTGAATTTGTAACGTTTGTAACATTTGTAACATTTCTATTTTGAAGTTTGACATTTGAAATTTTCTGTTTGTTGTTGCTTTTAATTCGTCAATCCCTAATTGGTGGTGGGGGTGGTTGTAGTGCTATTGGGGGTGGTTGGAGTGTTTTGAAGTGCCTAAGGGTGGGCGAAAGTGGCGGGAGGTGGTGGTTGGTGGTGGTCGATGGTGGTGGGAAGGTTGGGGTTGGTGGTAGGGGTGGTGTTGGAGGGTGGTGGCTGAATGAAGGCTGGGGGTGGTGGGTTGGGGGCTGAATTTGGAGTGAGGAGGCTGCTAGCTGCTACAGTCCAGTAGAAAAAACGCTATATGGGGTAGCGTTTTATGTACAAAAAAAATTGTACATAAAACGCTGTCCCATGCAGCGTTTTATGTACTGAATTTTTTCCCAACATTCAGTATATAAACCGCTGTTTGAGACAACGTTTTTAGTGCATTTGATTTTTTTTTTTAAAATTTTAAAATCAGATTTTACAAAAATTATAAAGAAAAGGCCCAACATGTAAAGCGCTGTCCCAAATCGCATTTTACACATTAAATTTCTTTTTTAAACAACTCAGGAGATAAAACGCTCTCCGACCCTGAAACTTAATTTGGTAATTAATTTGGGCACGAATCTACTTTACAAAATAATTTCGTAATTAGGCTTATTTTGGAAAAAAAATCTCTATTAATCCGTATATATGAATTCAATTAATATGGAGTATTATTATTGTAACTGTTAACATTATATGCGTGTCATTAATCTTCCTCTTTCTCTTATGTTTTCACTTTGTTCCCTCAATGGAAGTTTCCAGTTTAAAGCTGCACCCCTCTGTATTTTTTCCTCTCTCCTCCATTGAAACGCACTTTGAATTCTCCATTGAAGCGCACTTCTGAGCTTTTTCTCCATTGAAGAATCTTTTGAGGTTAGATGTTCTTTCTATTTTTGGAATCATCCATTATCAATTTCACAATCTAGGGTTTAGATTCATGCAATTGCTATGAACTATTGGTTTTATAATTACTGAAGTTGATAAATTGTAATCATCGATTTTGTTGCTAGTGTTATTCTATGTGCAATTTACGTTGATTTTCATGAATGTGAAGAAATTTATGCGATCTTTTGAGCCTAATTTGATAATTGAGTCAAATTTGGTTGCTGATGTGTTGCAGGATTTTGTTTATAATCCTTTATTAATGTTAGGGCAGAACAATGAAAATGAAGCTTCTCTCCCTGGGTCTAGGGCAGTCGCCCCGGCTCAGGGACGGGCCTCGAGTAGTGGTAAAAGTGATTCACAAGCCTCAGTCTCAGGCTCAGATGCTTCTGCGCTGAGGAGGTCAACTAGGGGTCAGAATAATTTGAGTCCGGTTAGTCTGAGGAAGTCTCAGAGACTACAACGGCAGTCGCCACCTGCCACCCCACCCTCTTCTAAGAAGAAGAAAGCTGGGAATCCGAGCCCATTGCGAAGGTCGGTGAGGGAGAATAAGTCTCACTCTTTAAGCTCTAAGGAGACGGGGGAGAAGGGTTCACCGTCTTATAATGGTTTGAAGCAGCAGACTAAGGGTTCAACTGTGTTAGACTCTTCGAATGAGAAGAACCAGAAGCAAGACAAGACTTTAAAGCAGATTGCACAGGAAGTCAAAGATAAGGGTAAGCAGAATTGCAGTTCTGAAGTTGGTAATAAGAGGAAAAAGAGGCTAGATGCTCGGCGTTACAGAGACATGTTTAAGCCCCTGAAGAAGAGCAAAGTTTCAGGCGAGCTATTAAATACTCTTGGTCTCCTCATTTACAATTTTTTTTTCTTTTTAATTTTCTATGTACTATATTTCACAAATCTGTTGTATTGTTGTTGAGCTTGTTATGCTATATTGGTTATTACTTAAATGCTGTTGCATGATCCTTTTGTAAAATCCTGTAGATTCAGAATCTGATAAAAAGAGCAGGCTGGAAAATTGTGATGACAGTGGAGGTAGTGGTCATGAGAAAATCGATGAAGGGGATCAAGAGCGTAGTGATGGAGAAGAAATGAATGGAGATTGTGCAAAGGACATAGATGATGATGCTAGAGATTCCAATTCTTGTGAAATTGAAGATGGAGAAATTCTGCTGGCGTCTAGGGGTCATGATGTTGCCTCTCCATCTTCTCCTAGGATCGAGGCTGTGCAAAAATCCGACAAATCCAAAGAACTTCCAGTGAATGGCTCTGCAATGGATAATCTTTCCAACCAGGAAATGCAGTTGACTCTGGACAAGCTATCTGACGATGGTGATGGATCTGGATGTAGTCAGAGAGGGATAAGTCTAGGGGATTCTGCTGTCAGAAGTGAAGGTACAAGCAAATGTACCATGGATGTTGCTTCCTCAGTATCATCTTCATGCAATTTAAGCATTTTTGCCGAGGACTGTGCCAAATGCTTAAGAAAGCGAAGGTAATGATTTTTTCATTTAGTAGTTGGTGTAAGGCATTAATCCTCACTAAATCTTAGGGAACGCATATTGAACCAAACATATGTTCAACAGTTACCATGTCTTGTTTCCAGTTAATTGTTGTAATCATTGTATTGTAAATGCCCAGAAAAAATAACCTAATAACTGATTTGAATCAAAATTTTTGTTTGGTGGATTGAATAATTTGATGTACAAATGGCAAGAAGTTGAAAGTTTGCTCTTTGACACCACTTTAAATCCTCTGAATTTTTGTCTTTGTTCTTTGCAAAAGGTGGTCATTATCAAAACAATTTCTTTGTTTAGATAGCTTCCCAATCTAGTTGATAGTTTTTTTTTTTTTATTTTTTTTTTTTATCTTTTCCATTTTTGTTATTATCTGTTGTTGTTCATGCATAGTGGGTTCGACTTTGTTTAATTTCGTACTTCTTTTTCTACTCCCTCTCTCTTCATCATCTTAATATTGCTGCAAGATTTAGACATAAAGATCTCCTTTTTTTCTTTCTACACTTCAAACTTATGATTCTGTTTGGCTTGCTTTGTTTTAGTGTCTTTTGAAGGTAAACTTTTGTTTAGAGATGAGTGATCAATGTTATGTGGTATGCGATTTGATTTGTGGTATGGGAACAATGTTGTGGAATTCTACCTGTGTGTGTTTTCTAGGCAACAACCCACAAAGTATTGTTCTCTTTTTTTGTAAGTAATTGTTCTCTTTGCATAAAAAGTAAATGTTCCATGTGTCTCTCTCTGTGCAACTCAACTTGTCATGCAATAAGCTTTTGCAGATGAAGGTGGACTTGGATAATTTAAGTAGTCAAAACTCCTATGCGTTAATAGTTGTCTAGAACCTATTGAACAAGAATGCAACCCTTGGCCACCTGGTGCACGATTTTGGGCACCGTCAAGCTTAAGTTGCTCAAAGTACATAGATCTGTGTTCAGAAATTTCAAAATATGCTTTAGACTCCTATCAAAACAGAAATTTTCCCTCACATGTTAGCTCTCCCATTCTTTTGTCAATCTGCGGACCTGTCATTCCTACTTTGTTTAAATTTATTACAACATCTGTACAGGTTAGACAATTTTTCTCTTTCTTGCAACGTTGAAAATAAATATCCTTTTGTTGCAGGCTGGACTATGATTCTCCGGAGCAAGACCTTTGCTGCTGTCTTTTAAACACTATAAATGACGTCGATAATTCTAAGGTTGGTTTTTATCTTTTTCTATAATTTTAGTTTATGTGCTTTTGGCTTATTTGATTTACTCTTTCCACCCCTGTGGCTCTTCTTCAAGAAGTATTATGTACAATTTACCAACATTTAATATCTTTTATATGAGGTTCAGTTAAGGCATCTTCACTGAAATCATTTTGATCGGCCATCAATGCTACTTCCACTCTTCATTTTCTCCTCCATACTTGTGTTGGATGTTCGAATTTTTGACAAGTGTACGGTTATCTGATACTTTAATAAAAAATCAGATACTTTAATAATTTTTCTTAAACCGCACAACTGTAGTAGAAAATGTAAATATAGATGGAAAACAATGGTTAAAAATATGGGTATGGTTGCGATTGTGGGAATGGTCACGTTGTCTTGGTAATGGAAATGATGAGTTGATTGATTCTTGTCGTGGTTGTTGTGAAGCGAATTGATTTCAAAAGCTTGTAGGATTTTATAATTGTTGTTGTTGTGTAGACTATTAGGGGCTTAAAGCCATAATTGGGAGACATGGGAAGTCTTTAATGTCTCTTTGAATAGCAAACAACTTTTGAGTGAAACACGAGATGTAGCATTCGATGTGGGGGTGGTTTGGGGTCCGAATGTTTGATTCGGACAATGTCATTGGTATTTGTAGAACATAGTTGTAATCAATCAATTGAAAATCTTATAAGTTATGCCCTAATTGAAATGATGCATTGGTTCGGGCATGTAAAACGGAGGCACGAAGAGTTGAACAGCAGGATCATGGAGAGCTTAAACGAGGGAGACCGAAAATGACTTGGTTGGAACTTGGAAGGAGTTAGACAGGATATGAAGCAAATGGATTTGCATGAGAATGAGGTATTTGATTGTAAGGGTTGGAGGAGCAAGATTTTTCGTGGATGACTCTACTGAATAATCACTTTTGGTTTATGTACCGAGACCCCACTTATGGGATTAAGGCTTTGATTGATATGTTTGCACTAAGAAATGAAAATAAGAATGTGTACAATATGTGCTCACAATAGGCTTAAAAAAGCTTTTCAATAGATTTAACAATGATGTCAGCCTAAAATGTGTGTAAATTTCATCCGTTTCATAATACAACTGTTTTGACTTTAACACTTGTTAGCGTAACAACTTTGACAATTAATAAATTTAATTTTTAAATGAAAATTATTTTAATAGTTGATATGTTGAAATTATTCAACGAGATTTAACCTTACAACAATAGTAAAAATCAATCAATTGAAAATCTTATAAGTTATGCCCTAATTGAAATGATTCGGTCATATGTTCGCACCATGAAATGACAATAAGAACGTGTGCAATATGTGCTCACAATAGGCTTAAAAAAGCATTTCAATAGATTTAACAATGATGTCAGTGTAAAATGTGTATATACTGTATCCGTTTTATAATACATGCACTGTTTTGACTTTTACTCTTGTCAGCAAAACAACTTTGACCATTAATAAATTTATTTTTATAATGAAAATTATTTTAATAGTTGATATTTTGAAACTATACAGTGAGACTAACCTTACAAGTTACAACAATAAAAATGACATTTTTCTTACGTATTAAAAAAAAAAAGTCCAAGTTAGTAAAAAAATAGTGCAAAAAGTAAATTGGGTTTATTGAGAAACGGAGGAAGTATGCATTTGTATGTTAAATTTCATGCATAAAGTCTTATAAAAAGGATTTTTTTTCAGTTTATGCCGTAATTCTACACCCATGTCTAATTTTTTTTACTGATAACAATGATCCCAATTATGTTCATTCATCTTGAAACAGTCCATTCTTTTGAATAACTAAGAACAGTCCTTACTATATTCAGTCTTTTATGGGAATGGACCCTGGCAATTTGATTTAAACCTATGGCAGATGGCAATTGACACTGATGACACTCACATGACCTTTATAGTTATGTTCCTTTTTTTTCTCGTTTGAATTTCATAATTACTATAAACAATAAACAATGAACAATATGATAGTCAACAACCTCTTCCCTTTGGTTCCTCATCCTATCAGCTACCTCCTGCTACTCCCTCACCCCTGCTCACTATTTATCGAAACCACCACCAAGATCCCAACCCACCACCAGTCTTACCCTATCCCAGCGTTCAACCTGATTGAAACCTTCATCATTCCATCACCTCCGTTCTACTGCCAACCATGTACTCCACCAGTCCACCTCCAGATAACCAAGTCGCTAAACAAAAATAAGGATGCTGAAAGGCCTGAAACTGTTGTTTTAAATAAATGATGTCTGATGGGCTTATTTTTGAGCCAAAAGGGCTCTAGTATACTAGTATAATCAATTATTCAATTAAAATTACGAATGAAATTTTTTGTACAAGTCTACTGTAAATTATAATGTCAATACTATACTAGTATAATAATTTAATTAATTGAAATTATGATTTATGAATGAAATTTTCAATACAAGTGTACTGTAAAAATTTGGGATACACATGAACAAGGAATTGTATTGCAACTAATTGATGCTGGCCCTACTGTTTCTTCCCGAGGCTGCTCGTTTTTTCTCCTCAACTGCCCTATTGCTACTAAAGCATGGATTCACAATTTTGTCTTCTGAATTTTGCAAGAATCTGGGAATATAGTTGGTTTATTGTTTTAGGTGAAGTTTAATTGTTATTAAAGTAGTTGAATGTCTTTTATTTATGGAAAAATCTAATTGTTGGTGCCGACTACTGTCTTCGTTGCTTGTTTCTAGTTCATAGAAGGTTGAAGAAGGATGCAAAGAAATGGAAGAGGTGAAGAAAGGGAGTCAATTGTTTGGTTATGTATTAAAATGGGGTAGGTTTAAATGGTAGTTAATTAGTTAAATAATTACAACAATGAAATTAAAACAGTTGAGTCAAAAAGGGGCTCATTCAAAACATGTGACTATCACATGACCCATTTTTACCTGTTGTAGTAGGCCACTTTTTAATAAGGTCCATTCTTTATGAATGCACATATAGTTTTGCCCCTTGGGACTGTTCAAAGAAGAGTGATCATAGTTTGGACTGTTGGCATCAATTTTTCCTTTCCCCCCCCCCCCACTTATTTAGTTTAATGAACCTTGGGATTATAGTCTATACGTAGTAATTTTTTAAAACATAGGGGTACATTGCCTACATGGTAAAAATTCTACTTCTGTAATGATCAGTTCACATTGCTTTAATTGCATTTATATGTACTCTGTTTTTCTTTGGCATCTAAAGGTATTCTTTGGGTTTCGTATTGATCCCTAATTATCTGTTATAATGAATTAGGATAGAGGGCAATGCTGGACTGTTGTTACTACAGAATTTGCTGAGGACCTTGTTCGAGGTGTCAAGCAAAGTGCTTCTAAGCTTGATGTTCAGCGGAGTACTTGTGTTACTTGCAAACTTGCAGGAAAACTCTTGTGGGTAACTTTGTCCTGCTTTTTCCCTGTCTTCTTGTCTTTTCGACTATGCAATTCTTCTAATGGATCCTGTTGTGGGTTATTATTGTAGACTTCAACCTACAATCATATACTCTTAGACTAATTTTGAGGCAATAGCCAATTTCTCCCCAAAACCAGCAAATGATTTTTTTTAATTTATATTTTAATTTTGTTTTTAATTTCTTTTTCCCGCGTGTATGCTGTATGTAGTTAGGATCTTTTATGCCAAATGTTTACTTAAGGTTGCTGCTTCAAATTTTAGTTCTTTCAGCTATGAACTATTTGATTTGTACTCTTTGGTTCATGTTGTGAATATTTGTTTATTAGGAAGTGTCCTCCAGTTCTTAGCTTAAGTGTTGAAGATTTTTACTAAGTTTTCTGCTAGCTGCTCAACGCCCATTCTTTTCAACTAAAAAATTTTCTGTAAAAAGCAATTCTAATTAGTAAAATTCAGTAACATTATTGAATTATATACTCCATCCGTTTTATAAAGCTATTCCCTCATGATGTAGCTCCACATGCCAAGAGAAGTGATAAAAGTGAGGTCAATGGGCCCTTTGTTTACATGAGAGAGAAGCTGCCTATAAACAATGTGGGGAAGTGGGTCCCATGGGGTGGTCTAAGCTATATTCAACCTTTTGGTGATCTAAAAGCATGTAATATGTTTGGGTAAATATCGTCTTGGCAAGCTGAGCAGAATAATATTGCGTTGTGCATATGCTTGAACATCGGGGCTTGATTTCTTGTGTGTCCTATTCCAATATTTTTCAAGCTTTGGAAATCCTCATTTGTAGCCCTATATTTTTCCAAGCTTGAGAAATCCTCATCGGAGCTTCTCTCTCCTGCATTTAAATTCACCGGATACTATTTTCTTTAGGAAAATCCTCATTTGTAGCTCTATGTTTTCTGCATTTATGTCTGATAGCCCAAAAATTATTTGAAAACCTAATAACAACTGGGTGTTCCTATATTTTATACAAAGTGACATTAAAGGTGACTTTTTGGCTAATAAATGGTACGAATAATAAATTATGATTCCCTTTATACTGTTTTAGAACAAATAATACCTTACCTTGATCGACAACATGACCATTGCTGAATAACATATGACTCCCTCCCACCCTACTAGCAACAATGCCGATTTGCAACCACAAATGGCCACCATTTGCGGCCTTCACACACGTTACCCTTGTCCAACATTGATCATCACCCTAAACACTCTCACCAACATCATTAATAACCGCCTGCATAATTGACTCCCCATTGACCGCCACACCTAAACTCATTTATTGAGACCCAACATCAACACCCTCATAGGCACCGTGATTCAGAATAAATTCACTGGAAACCACCCAACGTGCCTTCACAACCTCATTAGACAAAATCATCATTATTGTTGTTTTATTTAATCATCAGTAGCATTGCATGTTTTTTAATAAAATTTTCTTGATTTTATGGCTACCATATGAAAAGTGCGAAAACATTGAACTGCCAATGAGAATTTTCCCTAAATTTAATTTGTAATATTCAGTTTATATAACCATAAATGTTGAATAGATGCTGTGTTATCTATGATATATGTGATAATTATTGATTTTTTTTTTTAAATTTTAAATTCTAGGCACTGTAGTGGAAAAGGATGCGGAAGAAGTTATCATTCTCCATGTTCATTGAACTCCGAGGAAAATATATATCTTTCAAATTGGTACTGTTCTGACTGCACTAAGAAACAGTTGGCCCTTGGTGTCCATTCTGTGTCGGAAGGCATAGAATCAATTTTGGATGTTAGAGAAGTGGATATGTCAAACACTGAAGGTACTGATAAATTGATCTCATTTTAGGTCAAACTAAGTGTAATGGGGACCGTTTTGCATTCATAGTGTTGGCATTACCATCAAAAGTGAACAAAAGACTATAAGTATTGTTCTGTTGGCCTTCAGTCTTACACTGCTTATTTTGAAAGTTAAAAAAAGGAACAAGCGACTATTATATGTTCCAGCTACTTTATTATTATTGCATATATTATTAAGATGACAGATGCTTCACATGATAATGTGTTGTGCCAGGTAGACAGAAGCAAAAGCAGTGCTTTGTCAAATATAAAGGTCTTGCCCATATTCATAATCGCTGGGTAGCAGAAATACTGTTGGTTCATGAAGCCTCAGATCTTCGCGCAAAACTTGGCAAACAGAAAGAGGTATACTAAACATCTCTTAGCTGTTTGCAGCAAATGTTGGTGCCTTGTGAATCAAAGTTGGTTGTGCATGTGCATAAAAGCTTCTCCTTATAAGTCATGCCTCTGGTTTAATGTAACATGCTTCTTTCTCTCTAGGAGTTGCAGTGGAATCCAGCTTTGGCCATACCTCATCGTTTACTGAAGAGAAGATCAGTAATTGTCGATGATAAGCCAATTGATCAGGAAATTAATTTTGAATCAAAGAGCCAGCACGAATGGCTTGTGAAATGGTGTGGTCTTGATTATGATCAAGCAACATGGGAACCCGAGGATTTGTCCTTTTTTAAGAAACCTGAAACTCAACGATTGATTGAAGAATATGAAACACGTCATAACAAAGCCCGGAAGCCACCATTATCTGGAAATAATGAGGTTTGTTAATTATGCAGCTTCACATTTAGATGTGTCTCTACCAATTTTTAAATTGTTGAAGACCTATGAACAATTAGTAGTTTTTTCCTTATGCAGTTCTGTATTGGTTCCTCTTAATAAAGGGAAATGCCATTGTTAGAGGAGGGGGAGGTAGAGTGAGTTTGAAGGGTGCGTTGATGTTTTTTAAACAATCCTATAATATGTTTTCTTATCCCCCTTTTATATGTTGCAATTCCATTTCTAGTTATGCATGACTGTTATATGATTTACAGAAAACTCAATATTCTTATCTACTGATTTTTCTTGTGTGCTTTGGGACTTGTTCTATCCTTCTCTGGTTTCAATTTTCTTGATTCTGTGACCAGTTGTTTTCTCTTGTTAATGGGATATCAGTTTTCATATTTGGTTTTGTCTATTAATGATTAATAGGCTCAAGAAAAGAGAAAGGATTCGCATTTCAAACTTGGAAAACTTATGATTGGCGGAGCTGATAGTTGCTATCTTAACTCTGTCAATAAGCTTCGTGAGTATCACCATAAGGGGCATAATGTTGTTCTACTAGATGAACAGGTACACCTTTATTTCTATAATGTCTGCTTCTTCTTGGTTTTTTACATTTCCCATTGCTTTACTTGGTGATTGATATGATAATGTCATTTATGCATTGCACCTTGTTTTGTTGTACTCTTACTAACCACGACAATCTTTCTGTTATGTTTGGGCACACATATGAAGTTTTATAGTTGGGTAAGATTCTGGTAAGTAGTGGAGAAATTAGTATATAAGAATAATGATTGGAAGATAGCTATTGAGTGGGAGGGCCCACATCACATGGCATAGAGAAAGAGAGCTGGTAGGAAGGTCCATCACACATATGTTGAGTGTGTTAGGTTTCCATTTTAAGTAACTGGAAGATTTTTTGTGGACATTTAAAAAGGAATATAGGAAGATATTTTTTGTGAACGGAGGAAATATAAATATAAATGTCGAGGGGTACTTTATTAAATGGATCTTTATACTAGGACAAAGTTGCCTTGTTGCCTCCCCCCATCCCCCCTCCTAGCCTGTCTATATTTTTTCTTCTAGTTTAATGGCTCCCGGCTTAGATCTAAAGGGCGCAACATGGCGCAAAAGTCCTTGGAAGCCTAGGCGCAAGGCAGAAGGCTAGGCGCACTTTACTCATATAATATTATATTTAATTTTTGTAAATAAGTCATAAAAAAGAGTTCTGAGAAAGGGTGAACGGGCTTGTGATCAATCACTAGGGTTCTTCAAATGGAATTGGGGGATATGAGGTTTCTCTCTTCTCTAGTATAGAAGTAAATCTTATTTTTGCAAAGTCGAGTGGTGTTTTCTTACAAAAAAGCTATTTTACACATTAGCTATTGATGCCTTGCACCATAAGGTGCAAAGGCTCAAGTGGTTGCCTAGAAAAAAGCACATAGGTGTGCACCTTTTGTAGGTCTTTGTGTCTCGCAGAGCTAAGGCGTCAGCTCTCCTGCCTAACTGTGCCTTGCGCGGGTGCGTATAACGATCACTGTTTAAAGTTAAGGTTCCTGGTCTTCCAAACATTCTTTGATAATGGTTAAATTTTCTTGATAAAGTTGTTGGTTGATGTATCAGACTGCCGACACGTCAGACTGGCAAATCAATTTCTGAGTATTTGTTTTTTTTGTGGCAAATCAATTATACTTGGTTTTATTCATTTTTTCTTTCAGACTAGGTTTTGTATTAATAAAGTCTGTATTTTAAAATTGATCTCTCTATTTGCTTGGAATTGAAATGGACATTTGGGCTTTTCCTTGTTTGCTGGTCTCTGGTATGCAAATCAATTTTCCATGTTTGACTCTTGGAAGTTGGATATGTTTCTGTATTAGAGTGTTTAGCTGAAAAAGAAGTGGAACGATTTCCCTCAAAATTGCTTAACGAAGCTACCACTAATCCTACGTGGACAATATGGTGGGAATTAGTTTTAAAACTGACACGATTAGGAATTATTTAATCTTTAAGCAATTTGAGGGAAGTCGTTCAAAAGTGTTGATTTTGCTATCAGAATTTTCCTTGTACTATGTGGTTTAATGATAGTCCTTGTACTATGTGGTTTAATGATTTTTATTTCTAAAATCCATTTTGAACAGCAATCTTATTATCATTCTAAAATTGAAGGATATTAATGAGTAGATTTGAGCTCTTTTTCAATTGTGGATGCCAAATTGCATTTGTGTCAATTTTAAACTACAGCTACCTGAATATAATGTATAAGCTAGCATCAAAGTTGCTTTGCTTAATTATTATAAAGATCGTTAGGTTTTGGACGAAGAACCTTCCATGATTCATGATATATTAGAGGCTAGAATAAAAGGACTTGACTGCCGTGATAATTGATTAGTCCTATTTGAGCAGGACAAGTTTAGGAATACCTGAGAGATTGCTGCATTTGAGCACGTATTCTCTTTAAGATAGTTATCTTCCGTGACTGGGCATTTGCGTACTCACCTTTTCTGCATAATTTTCCATTTGCATTTTGAACCTTATTATTCTTCTTATTTGTTTGTCATCTTTTGAACTGGTTTGTTTTGTGAATAACTCATTTTACAGGGTGCTGAATATTGAATCTGTCTTAGGGTGGACAGTGTGTGTCATTATTTGGCTAATTAGTTTATCTTGAATTTTCTTGTGTGTAATTTGGTCCTCAGATTATTTCCGTTTTGGAGAGTGTTAACTTTCCTTGCAAAGGATTAGTAATCATGAGTTTAATTTTTCTTTTATTGTTAATATTTTTTGTTTAACAATCTTAATTAAATATGGGGAAAAAAAGGAGTGTTGGCCGTAATGAAACATTATCTGTTTCTTTAGTTGTTCGGTAAATATTTCGATTGCCCTCCTTTGGTAATTATTACTTTAACCTATTGTGTTTTACTACTATTATTACTTTTACTCTTTTTTTTTTTGGGTTGGGGAAGGGGAGGAGGTGTGTGTTTAAGGCCTTTGAGCTATCTGTAGAGCATTTTAATGGATATATGTTTGAACCTGGATCCATGAATTTAAATTCTGAAAAATAATTTTTGATTTTTAATTTTTTTGAATCTGAACCTGTGATTTTTTGGCTGATTGCTGTTTGCCTAATTGCATTCTATTTTCAAGATCTCAAGATTTTTGCTGTTTCTGTATTCTTCTTACCAAGTGAAGGGTCTGTTTCTTACTTTTATGTTTTGGTTGAATGGGTTTTTGCAGGATAGATTTGTGAAAGTAATCCATCTTGTTTCATCCTTAGTGACACAAGGTTCTTGGCCATTTCTCATCATTTGTCCGAATGCATCTCTGCCATCCTGGGAGGCTGAGTTTTTGCACTTAGCAGCATCTATCAATGTTGTGGTTTATGGTGGAAATGCAGATGCACGTCATATCATTAGAAGTCTGGAGTTTTATGAAGATGGTGGTCAAGTATTGCTCCAAGTACTACTATCTAGTGCTGAAGCTATTGCTGAGGTATGTGCATTTGAGTAATAAGATAAATTGTTTGTAAGGAGTTCAAGACTGATCCAAGAAGGCATTTGTAGGTCTAGTTCTAAAATAATTGGTCTTTTTTATTTTTATTTATTTTACCTATTTTTGTTACAGGGAAACATCATGTATTTTTTATTTTTATTTTACCTTCCGGATCTCATGATTATGTGTCATACTTGTAATGGCCCTCTTTTTATCATGATTATTTTTTTTTATTTAATTTTTTATAAAAAATTATGGCTCCTTGGCTTAATGTTTTGTTTGGATTCTAACAGATATCTTTGACTTGTTTATAATTTCTTGTATCATGATAATTGATTTTTAGTCTCTTTCCTAGAACACCTTATCTTCTTGTTGTACTTAAAATTCTGGGCTGTGCAGTTTTATTAATTTAGTTTCCTTATAAAAAGATGGGAATACCCTTTTTGCTATGTAGGCCTTTGTAGGAATTGGCCTACGTTGCAAAAATTGATAATGCTTGTTGTATTTATGTGCCTATTCCCATCTTAAATGTAAAATCTGGATTATTTCAAGCTACTTTCACTTTTGGTGCAATTCACTTAATGTGTACTGCATTCAATTTTGCCTTCTGATTTAAGAAAATTTGCTGCTTTTGCAATACACTTTTAAGTAGTGGTGTTTCACCCCCTTGTTTTAATTCTGTCTACGAGACAATATCCTATGGGAAACTTACCCTTAACTTGAATGTTTTATTTGCCCAACCATATAATTTCAGTGGGCCAGTATGTCCATTATCTATAAAATTTTAAAAGCACATGCATTGTTATGCTATGTTGGTTTTTTCATTAGATTAATTTACTGTATTAGCTGCTTGATTGGCGCTGTTTCATGAGTTTTTGAAAATTCTTGCAAGGTATATAATTTAGAACATATGGATAAAGGTTTAACTTAGAGATTTAAATTTTGTACAAAGTCAAACAGGTAGTTTTTGGGCAAAAGGGTGGGTAGTAAGTATGCATACACAAATGACTTCAAATGCCGGATCAAATAATTGTTTGGAGTACTTCATAAATGTTGCTGTTGTAAATTTTTTTGCATTAATTTCTATACTTGTGTATTTGTAAAAGTTTTATAAAGTTAATACATATATAATTATATGTATAGTTTTGAAATGGAGTAAAAGAGTGGTCGTTTTGGTGGATGATAAACATTGTAGTTCTGCTTGGATGAACAAATTTTTGATTTTTTTTTTTCCATTGATGTTGGTCGGCAAACCTAATGAACTGTTGACTTTCTTGGGGGCTCCTGTTTTCTGTTGTTTTGGGTTTGCATTTTGCCGTTTGCTCCTCTACTTTAGAATTCTAGTGGGCTTAGTTGCATATTTCGAATCATTTGAAGATGAATCTGGGAATATTACAGTAGGGGTGAGGAAGAAGATGGAAGACATGGATCATTTTTTTTTGGTCAATTGAGGATTTCAGAAATTGCATGGCGAAAATGTTCGCTAGACAAAGTTCCATCTATTGAGCAAAGTGTTCTGCCACAAGTTTTTAGAATTTTCATTTGGAGCTTCTACTTCTCCCATCTCCAGAATCTATATTTTGTTCTTTTGGGCTTGTAGGGAAGCTGAAACAACATACATTTAATTCTTCTTTCGGCCTAACTTCTTTCTCACAAGCTAAGAACTTTCAAAAAGATAACAGCACCTAAATTCTATAGTTAATATCTTGTTGATAGAAAATATCCGAGTGTGTGTTGAGAGAGTAGGACTTTGTGGTGAGCATATTTATTTATTTTTATAATTTTGTACATAGGTTGTGTTGTTGAGAGTAAACCCATTTCAAGGTTGTTCTTTTTCAAGGGGTTATTTTTATAAATAAATTTGATGTATGCTGGTGTTATTTTTTATTGTTTATTTTTATTAATTTTTGATTATTTGTGTGTGTGTGTGTGTGTGTGTGTTTTTTTTTTTTTTTTTTTTTTTTTTAAAAAAAATTTAAATTTATTCGTGGAGTTTTCTATTACACCATGAAATGTGTGCATCGTAGAAAAGGTTATATTACGTTGTCAGTCATTTAAATATACAAAGTGGATTCCAACAGAATTTTTTATGGCTTTATTACGTATGATCCTCTGGAACTTCTTTTTGGTTTCAAATTAGCGTGAGTTGATGTAATGGTGCTTCTATTATTATTTGTTTTTCCTCTGTCTCCACTTATCTGTACTTTGTAGGGTTGAATTGTTGTTCTGTTCTATCATGGGATTTGTTCTAAACATACTGATGATGTGCAGGATGTTGAAGAACTGAAAGGCATTCATTGGGAAGCTGTTATTATCGATGACTCCCAACAGTCCTGTATTTTGACTCATTCTGGTTCTATCAAGAATTTGGATACTGGGTGGAGATTACTTCTTATGAATGCCCAGTTAAGGGTATGATTACTTTCATCATAGAATGTTGTTAATCTTATCAAACATGTCCTGATAGCAGTGTTGAATGTGCAGAATAACATAACTGATTATTTAAATATCTTGTCCTTGCTGGACCCTGGTGGTATCAATCAAGATCCCGAACTACTTTCTAACTCCAATGCTGACATTGAAGCATTGAAAGATAGATTGTCCTCTTTCATTATTTGTGCAAGATTTATTGAATATTGGGTACCAGTGGAGATCTCTAATATTCAGCTTGAATGGTATTGCTATTATATGCTGTCAGAATTCTCTGCCCTTCGCACATTTTGGAAGAGTGATCCTGTGGGCTCCCTCCGTGATATTCTTATTTCGTTACGAAAGGTATTTCTTAAGAGTACACGAAAAAGTCAAAGATGTTAATATACTCTTACTTTTTTACTTCTGATGCTCTTTATGTTTTTATAGTGCTGTAAACATCCTTATATTGTGGATTGGCAATTGCAAAATTCCCTAACTAAAGATAAAGATCTTTCCGCGGATGCTATGATGGATGTGGATGTCCGAGCTAGTGGCAAGCTACATTTTCTTGAAAAACTTCTCTTTGAGCTAAAGGAGCGAAAATTGAAAGTTCTTATCCTTTTCCAGGTAGTTTTAATATTTAAATGAAGTTCTCCTTGGTTATAAATTACACTGATGAAAATTGGATTTGTTGTCCCTTTATGTATACCTTTGACATCTTTTGTAGGGTCTAAGGTAATCCTGATATGAATATTTTCATAATACAGACAAGTCTCAAAACTAGTATCTTCAAACATGCTATGTTAGTCTCGCTTTATTACACTGAAAAAAAAATAGCTGTGTTAGGTTATTCTCAGCTGACCTAATTTTATTCATAATATTCTGATCTGTTCATTAAATTCGTATTAATGTATACTTTTGCAAATATGATTTGATATTTAGGGAAGCTAACACAAATAAAACTATATGGCAGGATATGATCTAATCTTGTATCTAATCTGATCATTTGTGAAATACTTTCATTTTATTCTTTTTAATTTGAAAGGTTTCTATTGTACACTATTCACATACTCCACTTTATTTACATTTTGTGATTTATACTTAAAGAAATCTAAAGTCATATGGGGTCTTGTTAGATTCGTTTCAATGTGTACTTTATTTGAATCTAATTTTTATAATCTTTACAATTACATAATTAAATATATTAATGGTTGAAGTAATGTAATTGCAAACGTGAAAAAACAAAAATGGTGCAAGTAATGTACTCCCTCTGTTTTTTTTTAGTGCCCCATTGGGAGTTTTGGCACTATTCATTAGACCTATTTGACCAATGCTTGTGAATTATACATAAGAATAAAAATATAGTTTTGTGGGTACTTGTTTTTTTTTTTTTTTTTGAATAGTTTTTGTAGGTACTTGTTGGAATCTTCTCAATGTGTAGATTAATAATATTCAATTGTTAGAATTTATAGTTATTGATAATTAAAGATGTTATTAGTCAAATTTTTGCATCGGCATGTGTGGCATGTCACTATGGGGCACTTAAAAAAAAAATAGGGAATACTTCCTTCATTAGCATGGACGCTTCACATAATGTGCAACTTTAAAAAAAAATCCATTTTTAGTAAAATTATTTAAGCAAAATTACTGACATACCCTTATTTAATATTTTTCAAATACAATTACAAAACTAAATTGAATTTTATTAAGTGAATAATCTTACTTAATAATTAATAAATCTCACCAAGTTTAATTTACCCCAACCAACCCAATCTAATCCATCTGCTCTTCATTTTCCCAATTTAATTAACCATAAGATAATTCATCAACATCTTCATCTTCATCTTCCTCATATCTTTCTCTCTCCTCTTACAATCCCATTATCTCTGTTCATCTTCTTTTAAATCTTCTTCTTACTGTTCAACTTCCACAAAATTGAACCCGATGTTATTAAAAGGTCTTGTTTTCGTGGGTTTAGTGGTGTCTCCGCCGGCTTCGTGGGATTGTGAGGGTGGTTTATGGGTTTGTAGGGTGGGTGTCAGTGGGTTGGAAGGGTTTTTAGGAGAGGGTGGGGGTGGTTTCCAGGGTTTGTGAGAGTGGTTTTTGGGTGTTTCTAGGTTTATGGGGGTGGTTTTGTAGGTTTCTGGGTTTGTGGTTTTCGTGGGTTTTTGGGTTTGTGGGCTGGTTTTGTAGGTTTTCAGGTTTGTGGTTTTCGTGGGTTTCTAGGTCTTTGTGGGGTGGTTTTTTGTGTATTCGTTTCGTGGGGGTGTTTATTGTGGGTTCGTAACGCGGGTTCATTTTGTGGGGTGGTTTCAGGGGTTTTTGGGTTTTTTAGGGTGGTTCTCGTGGGTTTGTAAGAGTTGTTTTCGTGAGGGTGTGCTTGGTAGTTCGTACGATGGGTTTGGGTGGGTGGTACGGTAGATTGGGTGGGTGGGTGGGTGATAAGGCGGTTTAATTGTGGGTGAATTAATCATCCCCTTAATTACATGCCCTTTGCTTTATTTAGTATCATTTTGAAAATTTGACTCGGAGTTGGTGTTAGTCCTCAAAGTTGCAGATAACAATTAACGCAGGTAGTAAAATGGATAAAGTAAGTAAATATGTGCTTAAATAAGTTGAACTGAATATAGTCTCACTAGTGATTCATGAAGTTGTGCTCTTATGAAGTTACCCATGGATAAGTTGTGTTTTACTTCCTCTGTCCTATGGGACAATTTGTAAATGATGGAAAATTCAGCCATTTGATGCTTGTATGTAATTTTCCTTATAAATTTGTCTCGTATAAAGATGCTGTATCTTTAATTTTTTGTTTCTTTTCTGGTAAGAAAATTCGATGAATATATGTCTTGTATGCTTACATGTTTTACACGCTTTAAGTTTTAATTTATCTATTCATTCTTTGATTTGCATTTATTGATGTATTCTGTCTTCTTATCTATGTGGTTTGATTTGACAATTGACAGTCAACTGGTGGTTCTGGAAGGGATACTACCTCAGTTGTTCTTGAAGATTTGCTTGGGAAAAGATTTGGTTCAGATTCTTATGAATGTGTTACAAGTTTGCTTATCCCTTCCAAGAAGCTGGTCGCTTGCAACAAGTTCAACAGATTAAGAGAGAGATCCTTCTTTTTACTGGAGACACGAGTTTGTAGTCCAGCCATTAAACTTTCGACAGTACATGCTGTTATTTTATTTGACAGTGACTGGAATCTTCATAATGACCTAAAGGCACTTCAAAAAATCACGATAGATTCAAAGCTTGAACAGATTAAAGTCTTTCGGTTGTATTGCCCATTTACTGTTGAAGAGAAAGTTCTTATCCTTGCAAAGAATGATATGATCCTTGATAGCACGCTGCAGGGTATTAGTCCAAGTACTAGCCACATGCTTCTGATGTGGGGATCCTCAAATTTGTTTTCAAGGCTAGATGAGTTTCATCGTGATAAAATTCTGAACTACAAAGACAATATTGTATTCAGATCTTCATTTTTGATTGATGTTAGTAAAGAGATCGTTTCTCTATTTAAAGATTGTAATAATATTTACTCGAGTAAATATATATCAGTAGCACGACAAAATGGTGGATGTTATCTCAAGTGTATACCCTTGGTTGGAGAGCAGAAAATTCAGCAAGAAGAAGTTCCACCACCTGATTTTTGGACTAAGTTATTGGAAGGAAAGCAGCCTCAGTGGAAGTATCTTACAGGCTCATCTCAGAGACACAGGAAGCGTGTCTATTATTCCGAGGAGTCTCCTTCAGAAGTTCATAGTGTTGAAGCAGCAAAGTGGCGCAAGAAAATGGATGGTACTAAGATTGATTCTCCTTCCCAGCAAACTGAACCAAGGCTAGAGAAACAAGATTCTGGGAGCAAGGAGCATCAAGGTATAGTTTCAGTTATTTCTATGGTGGCCTTTGTAGGTTTTATTACTTGCGCTTAATCTATATTATTGATTCATAATGCATCAAAATTTGGATCACCCTAGTAACTAATTTAGCATCCAATGTAAACAATGTCCCAAGCTTTTGTTTATTTGTTTTTATATAAATGCTGATACAACCTTGTTTGTCGTATTCAATTGTAACCTTGAAACTATATCTATTGCAGAGTCTGGTGATGTAGAGAATCTGCATAACCAGCTGGGAAATCTTTATGAAATGTTGAAGCCAACTCTATTAGACCTTTGTGAGTCTCTGCTACTTGAGGTATGCTTTAAGTTTGGAGTCAAGAAAATGGTGCATGTGTTGTGGGTATTTTTTTATAATGCTTTGATATTATTTGTGGCTGTTTGATTGGAAGTATTCTCTTGCATAAGTTTCTGGGATATCTTGATTAGATATTGCAAAACATGTTTTCTTATGCCTTTTGTTAATGCTCTGCCCTACTAATTATTATGTAATACTTCCGCTGTTCCCCAATTATTGCAACATGGGGATGGGATACAGATTTTAAGAAGAGGAGGGAAATAGAGAGGAATAAAGATAGAGACCCATGTGATGATGAGGGAGAAAGAGAGAAAGCATGTGCAATTAGGGAAATGTTGCAATATTTGTGACACCTCCCAAAATGGTAATTGTTGCAACATTTGTGAAACGGAGGAAATAGGTGATTTGGGTGTGTCTTATCATCTTTTTAAGGGTATCAAGGGATGTTATGTTGGGATCAATTACGGAATGAGATGATCAGGAAGAAAGTAGGGGTTACTAGTTGAGAATAAGATGGAGAAGAACTGTCTAAGGTGGTTTGGACATTTTAAGATTGAGATGGGGTGATGCACCAGTTAGTTAGTTAGTTAGGAGGTTGGAAGGGTGGCAAAGTGATTGCCTGATGAGTCTGTTAAGGGTAAGGGAAGAGACTTGAGAGAATTTCAATGTCAAAGTCATATTGCCACATACGTGTAATAAAATTGTTTGTTTGTTTATTTGTTTATATATATCCGGTGAGAATAGGTACATATGTGAGAACTCATACTTACATGTGAACTGATCTAAAATTTAGAACATGTGAAATAAAATTTAGAACATACGAGTAAATATTTAGAACATGCAACTCAAATTAAAATTTAGAACATATGCGTAATAATTTAGAACATCTGCGTGAGTAATAATTTAGAACTTCTGATTTAAGAACTAGAACATGTGAGTAAAATTTAGATAATCTAATTCATAAAATTTAGAACAGATGAGTAAACTTTAGAACATCTAATTTAAGATTTAGAACATGTGAATAAAATTTCAGAATACCTAATTTATAATATAGAACATGTGAGTAAAAATTTAGAACTCCCCTATGCTTTATAATCTAGAACATTTAATTAAAATTCTTATAACACACTATTTAAAATTTAGAACATATAAGTAAAAATTTTGGAACAACTTATTTAAGATTTATAACATCTGATTTAACTAATTTAACGTTTAGAACATGTGAGTAATAATTTAGAGTATCTGATTTAATTTAGAACACCCGAGTAAAATTTAGAACATTAGATTTAAAATATAGAATAAACGAGTAAAAATTTAGAATATAAAAAATATTCTCACATAAAAGGAGGGGTTCTCATGAGAGCCTTCCCCTATATATATATAGGATGGAGTTCTAGTGAGAACCTCCTTAATATGAGAACTTCATTTAATATGAGACCCTTCTTATAACCGTTAGATTTGACAAAATTGGATGGGCAGAGATTTAAAGATGTAAGTAATGGCAATTTGGTAAATAATAAAATCATCTTCCTTTTGATTATTACTTGTATCTACTATGAAGCTAGCTATTTGAGTATTTTCTCTCTCCTCAAAGTTTCATACAGTAGGTTCCAATCTCTCTCCTCTCTGCGATTATAGCTATTTAAAGGGCAATATTTGTTTTATGATTTGTTAAATCTCTAAATTTTCCACTGATGTGAGCAATTGAATCTCAAATTCAACAACAAGATTTGAGTAACATACAATTGAAAACGAACTATTTCATCATAGTAAACAACATTTTTAATTTTTAAAAAAAAGGTCAAATGTGATTAAAATTTGCAGAATAACAATCACTTGAACAATAGAAAACATAAATGAAGAACAGAGACGAAAATTTCTGCAAATACCTGTGCAAATGTTAATTTATGAGCGTTCATCAATGGCGGACTAGCGTGAAGGAGAGAGAGAGGAAAGAGGGAAGAAGAGAGAGAAAATGTTTCCCCAAATAAGATGTCGACCATAGAGTTTTTTTTTTTTTTTTTTTTTTAACTCAAAAAAAACGAACGGTTACGATAAAAGTAATCAATGGACAAGATTTGAGTTCTCTCTCTCTCTCTCTCTCTCTCTCACACACACACACACACACACACATATATATAAAAGCTCCGTCTAAATTTAGGATGGCACCCCAATATTCTTAGGTTCTGGACTTTCTATATGGTAGTCCCGGATCATTCTTGGTGTCAAAACTTAACACTAATACTCTAGTCTAGGTTTAAACTTAAGCATTGAACCTATTAATCTACTATAAACAAGAAATGTCACAGTTAGAGTTTACCCTCAGTTGGGATTTGTAGTTTGACAGTGAGGAAAAATTTGAGAGACCAAGAGAGATACCTGAAAAGTGGAGTATTTTCTCTGAGAGGGGTTTGATTACTAGTTGTAGTCTTTGGGGCTAATGACCGGAAACTTGGCAAGTTGACCTTTTTATATTGTTTTTGAAAAGCCTATGCTGCCTTTTTCCTTTTCTACTGTGTCCGTAAAACATTTCCGTGGGATGAATTGTAGTACAATAGTTGGTATTTTTTTACCAATTAGTCTAGCTTATTGTTTTTGAAGAATATGTTAAGTGGATAAAATTTGAGAGATATGTAATCATGATTTGCCTTTATGTCAGTGTAAGCTCATCACGGACATCAGCGATTTCTCGAGTTAATCCAGTCATTCTTGCTCAAGTGGAGTATTTTCTCTGAGTGGGGTTTGATTACTAGTTGTAGTCTTTGGGGCTAATGACCGGAAACTTGGCAAGTTGACCTTTTATATTGTTTTTGAAAAGCCTATTGTCACGTGCTGACTAATCCCTCTAGTCTTATGCACGCTAGCCTACTAACTTCCCTCCCTCGGATGCTAGTCAAGGCTTAACCCCGAAATACTTCAAGCAAGAGTGTGCAACGAAAATTAAAGAATGTTGAGAACACAAGAGGATATAAATATTTTGAATGCTTTGATTGCTTGAGAGAGAGTGTTTACAAGTATTTTCTGAGAGATGCCTCCAAATGAAGGCCAAGTCCCCTATTTATAGTGTTCTAAGCATGGCCTAGAACCTTCACTAACCTCCTCAAATGGAGGGTTCTAGATCTAATTCTTTCTAGAGTATTCTATACATTTCTTTAGTACATTCCCTCTATGTACAAGGCTCTAGAATTATCTACACAACTCTAGAATTTACAGATGATTCAAGGATGTCCTAGGAGGTTCTAGAAGCTTCCGGATGCATCTCGAGTCTCCTTGAGTATTCTGGAACCTTCCGGACTTCTCCTTCAAAATCTAACACCACCATGATGTTCATTGGGCCTAAAAATGGTGGACCCCCAAATTTGGGCTCAATCGGACTTCATTTGGGTCCCCAAATAGCCCATTATTGTGTTACTGTCACTTGGGTGTTCACTAGGGTGACAGCACTGGAGCAATATAAAGCTCTATAGGGGGAGGGTGTCTCTGGCCTAGCCAGCGCGCACCAAGGGCATTCCCCCTAGCCACGATTGTTGCCTACCGTCCAATGGCCCTAGTGAGGGGTGGAATATGTGGGTCGTGACATGCTCCCCCACCTAAATTCTTGCCGACCTCGGCAAGATCGCCCCTTGGAGTACGTGCCCGCGACCCGGTCTAGTGCACCACTTGTCCCTTGTGTGCTTCTGTGCGCCGCTGCCCCGTCCTTCCTATTGACTCCACACTTGAGCCTTGTTGTCCCATCCCTTGGAACACCATGATGCCTTGTCCCTAGCATCTTTGTTGCCTTGATCCTCCCATGGACCGCACCTTGACGCCTTTGCCTTTGGCGCCCACCAAGCTTTCAAGTTCGAGACCCTCACGTCCCGCTCCTTGAGTTGAGCGAGCTTGATCCCTATCTCGCTCCCCTTTGATGTGATGGTTATCATGCCATCACTTACCCGAAAAGGTAGGACCTTGTGCAAGAACTCCATGCCTAGCACCACGTCCTCATCATCAATGTCGACCACCAAGAAGTCGACTTTTCCCTTCCACTTCCCCAAGCGGACTGGAACTCCCCACGCCCTTCCATACACCGGCGTGGCCTCTGAATTGATGGCTTTCATCTCGCCATCGACCCTTGTGAACTTCACCCCTAAGGCTTTGGCTTCCTCCTTAGCCAAGAAATTATGCGACGCTCCCGTGTCCACAAGTAGCCTCGTCGGTACCTCGTTCACTTCCCCGTTTACGATCATCAAGCTTCCTCCTTGCTTGATGTTCGTAGTGCTGCTTGTCGAAGATGCCCTTCCCTTGAGGTCATCATCTTCGACCCTTGAAGTGTTGAGGAGCCTCATATTGGCGAGCTGGGCGTCCTCGTTCATGACCATTGCCCCCATCCTCGTTGTGGGTGCGGACTCCTCCTCCGTTGCGATCATGGCACTTAATTTTTGCCGTACCGGGCAATTTCTCGCTAGGTGAGAACCCTCACACAGGAAACATTTGAAAGGCTTTGAGGGCTTACCTCCGTCTCGGTTGTCCCCCTTTGACTCCCACTTGGACTTGGCTTTGTCCTTGCCATGATCCGCATACCTAGCCTTTGGATGCGATGCCTCTTCTTCCTCCTGGTCACCTTCCTCGACCCTTTTGCCCCTGTCCCTTCTCGATTCCCTCGGGATGTCGATCAAGGACTCCGCCACGGCTATTGCCTCAGCAAGTGTCTTAACATTCCGTCTTTCCACCTCTTGCTGGGCCCATCGTTGTAAACCTCCGGTGAAGTAAATGAGTTGGTTCACCTCCGATAAATCATCGATCTCAAGCATGAGGGATGTGAATTGCCTGATGTACTCCTTGATTGTGCTAGTGTGCTTTAAGTCACGTAACTTCATCATGGAGACCTTCTTGGCATTCTCCGGGTAGAACTGACGCTTGAAATCTTTCTTGAACTCGTCCCATGTTCGGATGGAACATGAACCACTCTTGATGTCTTGTTCACGCCTTCTCCACCACAGAATGGCATCATCTCCGAGATACATAGTGGCAGCATTAATCATGGAGGCATCCTCCTCCAAGTGCACAACCTCAAAGTATCGCTCCATGCTCCATAGGAAGTTGTCAATTTCCCGGGCATTCCTCTTTCCATGATACTTTGGAGGCTTGGGGATTTCCACCTTAGGACCGGCTTGAATGGTGGCGCCCCCAGCCACCGTAGCCCTTCTTAGCAACGTGAGTTCCTCCTTGAGGAGCTCATTCTCCTTCTTCAAAGCAAGGAGTTCCCCCGTGAACTCCTCACGCATTTTCGCCATCTCGCCCATCATCTTCTCAAAATCCTGATCAGCGAGTGATTGAGCATCAAGGGATACCTCCTCTAGACGATTGTCTAGTTCCCCTAACTGCCCTTTGAGCGTAATAACTTCATTCTCGACCTTGCTGACAGAATCCGTCATGTCGCAAGCAGCAACTTCGGCTTTGGCCGATCTCTCATCAACTTTATTCACTCGCTTCTCAAGCTTTTGTACAGCTTGAATGAGGCTAGCCTCAGGCGCATAGCCCTCGGTTGTTTGTGAAGCACTAGCGTCCTTGCCGTCCTTGCTCTTTGCCATTCTTCCTCCTTCGCTCACAACTTGCTAACAAAGCTCGACAGCACTATAGTCCCCCGCGACCGTAGCTGCTCTGATACCACGTTATCACGTGCTGACTAATCCCCCTAGTCTTATGCACGCTAGCCTACTAACTTCCCTCCCTCGGATGCTAGTCAAGGCTTAACCCCGAAATACTTCAAGCAAGAGTGTGCAACGAAAATTAAAGAATGTTGAGAACACAAGAGGATATAAATATTTTGAATGCTTTGATTGCTTGAGAGAGAGTGTTTACAAGTATTTTCTGAGAGATGCCTCCAAATGAAGGCCAAGTCCCCTATTTATAGTGTTCTAAGCATGGCCTAGAACCTTCACTAACCTCCTCAAATTGAGGGTTCTAGATCTAATTCTTTCTAGTGTATTCTATACATTTCTTTAGTACATTCCCTCTATGTACAAGGCTCTAGAATTATCTACACAACTCTAGAATTTACAGATGATTCAAGGATGTCCTAGGAGGTTCTAGAAGCTTCCGAATGCATCTCGAGTCTCCTTGAGTATTCTGGAACCTTCCGGACTTCTCCTTCAAAATCCAACACCACCATGATGTTCATTGGGCCTAAAAATGGTGGACCCCCAAATTTGGGCTCAATCGGACTTCATTTGGGTCCCCAAATAGCCCATTATTGTGTTACTGTCACTTGGGTGTTCACTAGGGTGACAGCACTGGAGCAATATAAAGCTCTATAGGGGGAGGGTGTCTCTGGCCTAGCCAGCACGCACCAAGGGCATTCCCCTAGCCACGATTGTTGCCTACCGTCCAATGGCCCTAGTGAGGGGTGGAATGTGTGGGTCGTGACACTATGCTGCCTTTTTCCTTTTTTACTGTGTCCGTAAAACATTTCCGTGGGATGAGTTGTAGTACAATAGTTGGTATTTTTTTACCAATTAGTCCATCTTATTGTTTTTGAAGAATATGTTAAGTGGATAAAATTTGAGGGATATATAATCATGATTTGCCTTTATGTCAGTGTAAGCTCATCACGGACATCAACGATTTCTCGAGTTAATCCAGTCATTCTTGCTCCCGTTGTCATCACAACCGGAAGCTAAACTAATAAGAGTCCTTATACCTCAAAATATGCCTTATGCTTGGGAGGTGGTGTGTTTGGCTAGGTAACATAATGGAAACGTGCTTCAGGAGGAGGGGGATCTGGTTAGCGTAGATCTTTGAATCAAACGTTGAATGAATCGCTTATTTTATGTCTTTCGTTCTAATTTAGTTGATACGTTTCTTTTATCACGTTTGCCAATGCATAAACTCAATCGAATATATCTTTCATTATACTGTAGTAAAAAATACTAAATCTTGAATTTTAATTCACGACTATTTTTACATATCTATAATTCACAAATGTTATTCAAAGTAAATAATATGAATAGTGTCAAAAGTCAAAACATGTAACTAATTTGGAACGAAGGATAGATATCAAACTTTAAATTGGATAGAATAGGCAAAAAGGATTTCAATTATTTAGAGGTTAAATGTCTATCTGCAGTGACTATACAATTATGTTTACTTTTAAATGATATACAGATTGTGAGACTTAACCTAGTAATTATAGTGTGATTGAAATTTGAACTTTGTGCAGGATAATGTGAAAAAATTGGCTGAGGAATTTCTCGAGTATCTGGTGAAAAATTATCGAGTCACGAGAGAGCCCGAGACTACATTACAAGCTTTCTTACTCTCAGTGGTATGTATTGCCTCCTTGTTCTTTTTAATAATATATTATTTTAAAGGTATGGAGGACCCTAATGAATCGGCACCTCTCATAAGTCAATTTGGTCCAGCTTTGCAGGTCAGACTCATTTTGGGAGGGAGAGGGGGGTTGTATAAGGGAATCCTCATCCCTAAAGAGTCCCTAGTGGGCTGTAATCCTCCTTGTCTATATGCTGTGGGATTTTTCTTCTAATTCCATCCCTATCCTTAAATTATATTTTATATTCTTTATTTTCCTTGAATTGGGTGGCCAAAATAGAATGAGATTATTTTATGCTATATTGCCATGTTTGACCTTTTCTATTTTTAAAACCCTTGTTCATTTATGTATTTAATGAAAAGGATTTACCTGGGCTTTGCCTTGCCATTTGATTAAATTCCAAATTATTCAAGTTATCATATTTCTTTATCTTCCCAAATAGCACCAGGGGAACTTTTTAGTGTTGCATTCTTTTTGGTGGAGTATTGTTTTGTTGTTTTATGTATATTTACAAAGAGCATTTATGCATTCTTCATGGAAATTTACATGAAATCTTTGCCAAGGAAATAGCAATACAAGATCAATTCAAATGTATGATTACAGGGTGCAACAATTAAAAAGCAAAAAGCTTCGTATCTTTGGAATAATTTATTTATTTATTTAGAGAATCTGTAGTCATGTGTTGCTCTCTGTAATTCAAGAGAGGTTTGGTGTAGTCTCATCTATAAATATGTGGTCCTCCAAAATTGTTAAGCTGCTTTAGTAAATTTTCTTGTGTTGTTTTTGTTTTCTTAGAATGATTCTGTTTTCTTTTGCTCACTTTGATTTGCGGTCTTTAATAGTGTTGGACTGCAGCTGAGGAACTGGAGAACAAAATTGATCACAAAAAGTCGCTTACCATTGCCAGAGAGAGGTTGGGCTTTAATTGCTTAGAACGTGACACTGAGAAAATAATTTCCAGGTTGAAGCCAATAATGGATAATTTTATATGTTTGAGAAAGAAAAATCCTAATTCGGAAGGAAAATTTATTGAATCACCACTAGGCAACCTGAATAATGTAACTGTAGAGCTTGAGGAACATATGAAGAAGGTTGAAATGAAATGTGGCAGGCAAATGGAGAAGCTAAAAAATAAACACTATGAAGAACTTGAGAAATTTGAAAAATCCTGGGTGGATTTGACGATGAAGCTAGAAAAGTGGTGTAAAGCAGAGTTAACCACTATTCGTTATACTCACGCTAATTCTTCAATTGGAATTGATAAGTTGAAGGCCTTGGATAATGATTATGCTAAGAAAAGGGAAGAGCTAGAAAAGCAAAAAACCATCAAACGTAAAGAGCTTGAAGCTAGGCAAAAGGTTGAAAAAGATTTAGAAGAGAAGAAGCTAGCTGGGTATATGAAACGAATTAACTCCTTGGGGTGCCATAAGCTTTTGGAAGAACCTCATGATAAGAGTGGAGTAAATTCTGAAGTTGCTGAACCTATTGGACCAAATGAAGAATCAAATGGAACTGTGGGTATCAATTGGAACCTCTCAAAGCAGCAAAGTTTCAAGACAAAAACAATAGCGTCTGTACTTGCTGAAAATCCAGAGAATACAGATGAGCAGAGAGTGAGTTGCTCAAATGATGATTTTGTAGCATCCATAGAGAATATACCAGCATCTAAGGGACCTATTGGACTAGATAAAGAATCAAATGGAACTGGAGTTATCAATAGAAATCTCCTAAAGCAGAAAAATTCTGAGGGAGAAGCAATAGTTTCTGTGTTAGCTGAAAATCTGGAGAATACAGATGAACAGATAGAAAACTGTGGGAATGATGATGCTATAACTGGTATAGAGAGCGTACCAGCATCTAATGGGCCTGATACTAGTACATGTTCACCTGAACAGCCTTCTGCTCCTACTGGACAGATTGAGAAAGATACCAATCAAATAGATGATGTGGTAGTAGACAGGTTGACTGCTGTAGAAAGCAACCAAATTAATGGAGCCAGTACAACAGGGCCATTGCTCTCTCCAATTGGTTCATTCACGGAGCACCCAAATGCTGTTACGAGTCAGGTTTGCTTTATCTTCTGTCCTTATTCATTTCTCTTCTTTTTTTGGAGGGGTTAGGGGTAGGGGTGGACCGGGTGGTGTGTTAATTTCAGCATCTTCTCATTTCTACTCCAATCTTTTGCTGTTCTTCTTTCTGTTCCCTTCTTCGATGTTTTTAATTATCTGAGCTGTCACAAGATGTTCTGCCTAGGTCTCTATAATACATAGGTGCCTTGGTCAGTCATTTATGTTGTGTATTTTGGACTTGGTTTCACCTAGCACAAAGGGATGCATTTCTCGGATTATTTAGGGACCACTTCATTAGTATTTTTTAAAATGATTTTAATAGAATTTAATTGGTAAGTAACAATTAAGAAGAAAAAAAAAAAAGAACATCTGAGTAATTGTTAGCAGAGCACCCTTGACAAAATGGCAATGGTGTTTTCATCTCTCTTCTTTGTGGGGTAGAAGGGAGACTGAAAATACATTCCATTTGCTATTATGATTTTCTTGTTTATTCTTGATTTTGATCTTGTAGATCACTGGTTTGTCCCAGAATGTGATTGTGTGCGCTATTGGCTACTATCTATTCTCCTTTCCTTCATATTATCTCCTATTCACTTCTTTTACTGCTGTTACCTGGTTAGGGGCTTGGAGATGAATCTCATATTGGAGTGGGAGAGCAAGTAGGACTTGCTACCCGGACACATACTACGCCTTTAGGTGATACATCATCTTTAAATCGTCCCAATCATGTGCCATCTGACCTTTTGCATAATGAAGAAGCACGCTGTTCTACCGAGGCTTCATTCAATGAGTGGGTTACACATTACAATGATCAGTTGGGAGTTGCTCCTAATGGTAGGCTTGATAGTCAGCCAATCGGAAATCATACATCTTTTGTGGGTACTACAACCCCAAGGCATCAAGATCAAATGGGAGTGGCTCCAAATGGTAGGCTTGATATTCAGCCAATAGTAAATCATGGATCTATTGTGGATACCACAACCCCAAGGCAACAAGATCAAAATAGGGGCCGCGTCTTAGGTGAAGCTGTTTCACAGATGCCTGTTCATGTAGTTCCTGCAAATTTTTTCACCCCGAATGAAACTAATGCACCAGTAGCAAGAGGAGCTGTCCCTGCACATTCTAGCCATGCAAATCGAATGCAAATGCCTATTAACACTTTGGTTACAACACCCAATCATTTTGATCCACTTCAATTTGAAGTAGATAGAATACGTAGAGAGATGGGTAATTTGATGACCATTCATGAGCAAAAGGTTAGTGCATGCATTGCCTTCGTTTTCTTTACCATTTTTTTTATCATGTCTGACTTTCTTAATTATTTTTTCCCATCGGGCCTTGCAGAAGTCACAGTTGAAATCAGAATGTGATAAAGAAATTGAGGAACTTGTTGCTCAAATTAAGAGAAACTATGACAAGAAAATTGATGAGGCTGAGGCATCATTTTCGCTTAAAAGGAAGGAACTTGAAACATGTCAGAACAAGGTCGTGATGCATAAGATGCTGGCTGAGGCCTTTCGATCTAAGTGCACCGACTATAAGGCAGCTACAAGGATGCCACAGATAGGTATTTAATTTTTTGGCTTTACAAATGACATTTGTTTAATTTAGGGTCAAATGAGAAGCCCCTCTTAAAAAAATTAATTAAAAAAAAAGAGAGATAGTAAATGAAAGGCTCGAATGAGAGGACACCTTAAAACGAGGAGAAATTTCAGCTTAGCTATTGATTTCTGAGCTGAGATCAAATAATACAGCCATATTTCTGATATTGCTGCTTACTGACCAATTTGATACTCTTAACCACTATCCTCATCCATTAATGCCCTCTAAGATTTTATCTAGCATCCATAGTTATATCCCCTTCCTTGCAGCTTTCTCCCCACCACTAGCCTCAGCATCTATAATCCTCTTTAATGATTGAAGAAAACAATATAGCCATTATGTTCACCCTATGGAGTAAACATTAGTTGATTTTTTAAATTTGTGCTGCTTTGAACTTCATTAATGGGGCATTGGATTGTAAGGGATGGAGGAGGAAGATTTGTGTGAATGACTACACGGAATAATCACTTTTGGTTTATGTAGCCGACCCTGCTTATGGGATTAAGACTTTGATTGATTATAAACTTCATTAATGGCATATATGATACAAATTAATGAAAATAAGATGATGTAAATTTCTTCTGCCATGGCCTCCATTTTCCCTATGTGCTGTGGAGATGCTATTTCTAATGAACCACACATGTGATAATGGTTTCACACTGTCACGTGTCGGCAGGCTATGGCTTGAACTGAAAATTCCTGATTCATTCAAACTCATTATGTTTTGTAGCTATGCAAAATGAGCACCATCAATCGTATCTCTTTCAAAGTTTTACCCATTTCACTCTATGTGGTTCACCATATGCCTACTTTTCAACTATTACTTGTGCATTTGATGAAATTTCCTTGATTGTTCTAAGTATATTGCTTGTCTTTGTGGAGGCCACTGGTTACTGTTTGGAACTTTTATTTTCTATACACTGTCAATGTATGGGTTGATTTTCCTACTGTATTGGCCCTTCAAACATGATCATGGCCTCTCTTGATGCACTGCTGAATTAATACTGAGAACTCGGGGTGAGAACTGAGAAGTCATCATTTTTTATCAATCAATCAACCATAGCCTTAATCCCATAAGAAGTTATCATTTTTTATATCAACCTTAAATATAAGTCTGTTTTAAAATCAACTGCACCATCATTTTCATGGTAATGGCCTCCTTGATACAATTTTGACTATTAATATTTTTAATTAGGTGGTAATAGAAGTTGTAAAAGTTGAAAATACACATGATAACAAATCTACTAAGATCCCTTCATAATCTTGGTTTTATTTTATTTTTTATTTATTTATTTTATTTATTTTATTTTATTCTTTATTTATTTATTTATTTTATTTTATTTTTTATTTTATTTTTATTTTTTTAACTTTTTCCTTTTTTGTGCCGTCAATGTTTGAAGAATTTTGACCTTGAAATCAAATTTATAAAACTTTGACGTTGAAGTCAAAAGTACGGATGATATTGAGGCGGCAGTATTACTATTTAGTCACACTTGCCTGATTTCATTGTTGTCTGCTTCTCACAATAATTGATATTACAGGTAACTCTTCTAGTTCTGTAGAGATTGCCTCGCAATTACATTCTACAAGACCTTTCTCTCCTGCTACGTCACCTTCCAGTGGTCCACCTAGTGCTACACCACCTTTACGGGCTGTTCGTCCCTCTATGACCTTAAGTGCACAAGCCAGAATTTCTCATGTCGACCCTGTAGCACTAACGGCAGGACAACAGCAACAAATTAGGCGTGAAGCACGTGCCCCAGCCCCTCATATACAGCCCTTCAGATCTGCTTCATCTGCTATTTCTTCCAGCTGTATGCCTTCTGATGCGTTGATGCCACAGCCACCTAACAATCCAACTTCTAACTTAGCACTGCAGCTCCAACCACAGCCACCAGTACAGCCAGCACCAGTACAGCTAAACTCTCGTGGTCAGTCACGCCAAGAAGAATCAATGGGAAGGGGTACACCACTTAGCTTATCCTTGAGTGCAACACAGTTGCTAATGGATATTACAAGGCGACATGATGCAAATCTTCATTCTAACAACGTACCCTCTTTGCCAGATAATGTGCGAAGTTCTGAGTCTTGGGACACATCCCAATTTGAGGAAGTAACGAATGTGCAACCGTCTTCGTCTAATTTACAAAATGGAGACGTGGTCTGTTTATCTGATGACGATTAAATATCGTGACATTCTTGGTACCCTAACCTTCAATTTGTTGTAACTCTTAGATCCTATTTTCAGCTTGGGATTAAGAATTATAGTAGTCTGGGTCTGCAAGCTGTATACAGTCCACTGTTATTGTAGCTATAGGTTAGCAGCTAATGTAACTAATTGTGATTAATTTGAAATGAAATAGGTGCACTCATATTGTGCAAGATTCTTCCGGTGTTCCGTGTTCGTGCTAGTTTTCTAGCTTTTGGAATATACTTCGTATTTTGTTAATTTGGGTTTTGGGACTTGGGAGTTGGGAGTGCACTCATTAGAGATATTTCAAAAATGTATACAACCTTAAAACGGAAAAAAATGGGTCTGAACAAGAATTTACAACTATAATATCCAAATTGATCCAATATGAACTACATGTAAAATCATGTTTCACCTGAGAACGAAATGCAACTGTTAAATGTTTAATCATTTTGAAAATGAAATACGTAGTATTCTATATGAAGTAGGAATACTTGAATTTCACAACTATGTATCAAAATTGAATTTTGTTTCTTAGAAAACTCTTACCTTTTTATTTATTTGGTGTGAATATTAAAAATGAGGTGGAAAGGGAACATATAAGAGGTAGGAAAAGAATATATGAATATTAAAAATGAGGTGGAAAGGAAACATATAAGAGGGAGGAAAAAAATCATTTAACTCTTACCTTTTTTATTTGTTTGAATTAATCATAGAAAAGTATCACTTAAACTTAACTTCATTTTACCCCTGGATAATGGTAATTGTTATCCAAACCTTTTAACCAAACACTAGGTAAGTTGGTAACGGTAATGCTTTAATTGACTATGTTTCCAACCCAAAAAATACTATTACTCATCATGCTCTTGTTATAGTTTGAAGTATTCTTATTGTTGAAAAAAATGGTTCCACTTGGTACATATTTACAAGTGAGCCTCAGTTTCGCAATCGAGAAACATGGGATATTAAGAATGGCATAAATGTAAATAAGGGTACATTCATCAATATTTTTTTTTATTTTTTGCTCAATTAACACTATTAACTTCCCATCCACCTTCACTCTTCTTCTTCCTCCTCCTCCTACAGCAAACTCCATTGAAGGAGCTTGAGTTTTTGTCCACCGACACCATCGTTTCCAACATAATTTCTGACATCTTTCGCCTTCACCGACATGTCCACCACCGTTTATGGCGGTTTCGCTACCAAATTAAACGAAAACCCTAAGAACAAAGAGAGAAATAAAGGGCATGATCAACCCTAAAGAGTAAGGGTGTTATGTTCCTCCGTTGAAGCAGGCCTTAAGCTTTTGAAATCTCCATTGAAGAGCTCTTCGAATTTAAGTGGAATTCTCACAGTTAGGAATTTGTTAACTTCTGTTATGGCTGTAAATACAAATTACCCTACCTACCTACTCAAAATGACAACAATGCCCCATTAAGCAGTAGATTTCGTTTCTCATGTTGAAAAATCTTTTTTTTTTTTTCATTTCTACTCCCCCTACAATTCTTATTATTATATACATATAGGTTCAAAATTTACATACCATAACAATTTATTACTCCCTTGTCCCTATTTTTTTGCCCCATTTGACTTTTCACGGTTTTTAAAACACGTGTTAAAACGTATATGACTTTATTTCTATACGTGTAAAAATTCTAAAAACTTAATATTAATAAAATATGCAATGATACGAATCTAACAAAATCCCACATGACTATATTATCTCTTATTGATTAATGGGAATTTATGGTCAAATTTTTTGAAATTTGAACCATTTATTTGCAATGGGACAAAATAATAAAGATAGAGGGAGTACTAATTTGTGCTTGTGTGATCTTGTTAAAAATAGATTTATTTTCATGATAAAATTATATACCAGTTATATGATATGGTATTGAGTTAAACAATTATCTTACAAGATTAACTTTCTCGCTTTTTGATTACTAAAATAGTCATCCAATTATAATGGATTGGCTTGTCATTTTTCTCATTCTTTGCTTGTAATATTGTTGTTAGAAATATGCATTTATATGCGGATTATAAATATTCACGATCTATTTTTTAATAAGTAATTATTTAAAATTCTTCTAATGGTGATTTTTATGCTTGTACATGTTTTATCAATTCAATTGTCTTTAAATTTTTTTCTTCTCTCTTGACAAGAAGAAAAAGGATTTTGTTGATAAAAGATAGCCAAACGGCACTTACAAACAATTTCGAGGAAAACTAAAATTCCAACACAAGTACAAATTACCTTAGAAATCACCTTAATAAAAAACATCCGAAGCAATACAATATGTGAGTTAACATTAATTCGGCTTGAGATCCACAGATGAATAGTTGTTTGAGTAAAAATACTCTTACGGTCTTCTAGATACTTCCGGAGATTATGAAACCCTAAATATTCAATCTTCGACTGACGAACAAAAAAAGAAATTAAGCCTAATAGAATAACCGGTGAAAAAGATGGGATCCATTTATTGAAAGCAATTAAAAAGTTTTTGGGGCTTACCACCGGTGAAAGCCCTACAAACATTCACAATTAATACTAGAAGAAAGGAGATGAAAGAGAAAGAGAGAAAAGGAGAAGAGTGAAGGAAAATCTTTAAAAAAAAAAAAAAAAAATTGAGGCTAGAAAAACCCTCCCAAGGGAGAAACCCTAGAAAAACGAATATAATATGAAATTAATAAAATTGAATTTTAGTTCAGTAAAAATAATTTAACTTGTACACTCTGGAGAAATGAAGCAAGTAATAAAATATGAAGGGAATAAATAAGGACTTGTTCATTTCACCTTACAAAAGCAATACTGAGTATTCAACAAATTAAATATATTTTTATTTCAGTAAAAATGAGTTCATTTCATTAAAGATAATTTCAGTTCAATAAAAATCAGTAACTTTAAAGAAAAAATATAACAAAAAATCAGTAAAAATTAATTTAGTTAAGTTAATTTTAGTTCAAAAAAATGTTTTCAATTTAGTAAAAATAAGATTTTTTTTTTTTTTTTAAACGGTAAGATACTGGGGAGCGTCACCTGTAACACCCTAGAAATTTCTTCCCTTTAAAATACCTGTTTTGCTCTTTTAAAATACGAAAAAGGAAATTCTAAGATATTACCGCCACCGTGAAAACGGCTAAGGCAATTATCAAAGACACACAGCGGAAGACTCTCTTTAAAACCATTCAAAATAAGTCAACTTAAAAAGTCAAACCAAATGAAAGTAAAGTCAAACAAGTTCAACCTACAACTTGAAACCAATATAGGCCCTTAATAAAATCGAGATAAAACATTTTACAAACCTTCTCGTTAGTCTTGCAAGCAAAATATATAATAATTAAAGCAATAAACCACATCATATTCTTATGAAAACTAAACATGATTCGTTCTTCACTCATGCATGCCCATCATGAATATGCTTCCACACTTGAAAAGCTCCTCTTTACTTTGTCCCCACTACTCGCCATTAGAAATGGGTCGTCGTAGGGCCAAAATAAAAATAAGGCGAAACAAACACACAACACACACAATCAACAATGCTGAGTACATAAGTGTAAATAGTACATACTAACATGCTTAATCCTATCAACACACAACTTACCTTGCTGCATGACAGGCTAAAGTCATATCACTTAATCAAAAGAATTACCTAAGTCCTCTAACTAAATTAGATAGGGAAGTAGGGTTGAATCCACAGGGAAACAAGTCTTTCTATTCCTAAATAATTAATATAATCTAAACTATTAAGTAACCAATTTGTTTTTATGTGAATTAAACTAAGGAAAATAAATAAACTAAAGCAAATTGAATAAGGGAGAAATCAATAAATCAAAGCCTAGGGTATAGGTTCACCAATAAATAATATTACAGGGTAAACACACAACAATCAATTATCAATGCATCAATTAATCAGATCATAAAGGGCTTTCGCTACGTACTACAATCACAGAATTAACATTACTAGAAAACAGCCAATCAACGACGGAAAAAATCCGTCAGAAAACCTGAAATTCTGTCGGAAATGCCCATTTCCGACGGAATTCCGTCGGAAGGCACCGTCGCATTACATGTAGGAATTTCGCGATATTCCGAGGGAAATTCCGTCGGAAAGGTCCATTCCGATGGAATTTCCGACGGATTTTGTTCTGTCGGAGTCAAGTTTGACTTATTAGGAAAGTCCGTCGGAAGAAGTATATTCAGACGGAATTTTCCGTCGGAAAAAGTATATTCTGACGGATTTTTCCGTCGGAAAAGTAAAAAAAAAAAAAAACAGCCCTGCTCACCACCACTCCACCACCCTCTAACTCTAACCCTAAGCCCAAACCACCCAGCGTTACCCACCACCACTGAACCCAGACCCACGTATCACCTAGCCCAGATCCTCCTAACCCAGGCCCACCCACGCCTCCCCACACCACCAGCTACCACTGAACCCACCCACGCCTCCCACCACCCTAACCTGAACCTACCCACCGGACCCACGTAACCTGAAATACTCTCCTAACCCGACCCCACCCACTAAACCCACCACCGTAGCCGCCAGATCTACAAACCACCACCGAAACCACCATTCCCCACCCTCCCCAACCACCACCGAAACCCACCACCCACACCCAGCACCGAAACCCACCTAAAACCATCACCCAGAACCGAAACCTACCTAAAACCACCACCCACACCCAGCAACGAAACCCACCCAATAAAACATAAAAAAATTCGAAAAAACAACCGAAAAAACATCAAATATCTAACAACAAATTAATGAAAAAAAACCGAAAAACAACAAAAAACCGAAAATACAACAAATTAATTAAAAAAAAAAAGATACGTACCTTAATTCGACCACACAAAACCTCGAAATTGGGTTTACGAGGCCAAATTCGACCATGAAAACTCTAGATCTAGAATTTTCATGGTCGAATTTGACTTGAAAACCTTTGTTTTAACCATCAATAACCTTTTCATTGTCGGAGTTGTTGTCGATTATAGCGGTTCGTCGTTGTTGTTGACGGTGCGAGAGTGAGAAAGAGATGAAGAGCAGCGACAGTGAGAAAGAGAAAAGAGCAGCGAAGAAAGAGAAGAAGCTATAATGAATGAGGAGAGGAAATCAAAGAGGAAGAGAAGAGGAAAGAGAAAGAGTAAAGAGGCGGAAAGAGGAGAGAGAAAAGAGAAATGAAAGGGGAAGGGGGAGTTTAGGGTTTTCGTATCGTTTTTTATTTATTTATTTATTTATTTATTTAAAGTGTTAAATTCGTCG